CCAATAACAGAAACTTCTCTGTCCATCCAAAGTGCTATAATGGCTAACAGAAACTTCTCTGTCCATCCAACCAATATTGGCTAACAGAAACTTCTCTGTCAATCCAAAGTGCTATAATGGCTAACAGAAACTTCTCTGTCCATCCAACCTGCAATATTGGCTAACAGAAACTTCTCTGTCCATCCAACCTGCTATATTGGCTAACAGAAACTTCTATGTCCATCCAACCTGCTATAATGGCTAACAGAAACTTCTCTGTCCATCCAACCTGCTAAAATGGCTAACAGAAACTTCTCTGTCCATCCAACCTGCTAAAATGGCTAACAGAAACTTCTCTGTCCATCCAACCTGCTATAATGGCTAACAGAAACCTATCTGTCCATCCAGCCTGCTAAAATATCTAATGAAAAAGTTTATATCCATCCAAACTACTATAATGGTTAACGGAAACTGTGTGGGTTTCTGTATGTTTCTCTGCGTGAGTGTATGTGTCAGCGTGTGACTGTCTGTGTGTGTATTGTGTGCGCGTGTGTCTAGTGTATGTGTTAGTGTGTATTTATCAATGGGTGTATGTGTGTGTCTCTTCGTTGTGTGTATGTGTCTGCATGTCGGTGTATATGTGTCTGCGTGTGTATTTCTGTGTGTTTTTCTAAATGTGTGCGTCTCTGTGTGTGTTTGTCTGCGTATGTGTTTGTGTGTGTGTTCGTATGTATTTGTCTGTATGTATTTGTCTGCGTGTGTGTCTATGTGTCTGTGGGTGGTTGTCAGCATGTATGTATATATGTCTGCTGTGCATCTGTGTGTGTGTGTGTTTATATGTATGTGTCTGTATGTTGTCTGCGTGTGTGCATGTGTGTGTCTCATGCATGCCTGTGTGTATGTCTGTATGTATATATGCATGCATGTGTGTGTAAGTGAGTGGGTGAGCATGTCTATATGGGTGTGTGTATGTGGGTATGTATTCGCGAGCAGGTTTTAGCATACATTTTACAACCCATGCTTTTATGTTCTTTTATGATCTTCATAATATGCATATAATCATATGATCATAACATGCTTTATTAGTAAAATACCACTGCTATGGGAAAGATGGGTGATTGGAAGCGCTGAATGTAAGACGAGCCTGTGTGCCCAATTTGTGACCCTTTGAAAATAAAGTTTGTTTGTTCTCTGTCCATCCAACATACTAAATCGCTAACAGAAACTTCTCTGCGATGGAAAGGCAACTCAATAATGGAATCAGAGTAAGAAATCAGTCCTGCAAAACAATGAATTCATGGGATATCAGAGGATGAGAATATACCCCCGAGAGCTTTCACTGAATGACAGTTTATAACTTGACATTGATAGTAGAACCAGGGATTAAGCAGTGGGGGCGGGATGATGAGGGGGAGAAAAAATAGTGGTGAAGAAGAAAGAGGAAAAAGGGTCAATGATGATGAAGAAGAAGTCAGAGAAATGGAGAAGGGGAATCAGTAACAAACCCAGAACACTTCATTAATCACAATAAGTATGTTTATTCAGCAATATTTAGAACCACAACAAATACAGTCAACAAACAATACACATGATCCAGTGTTAAGCCACAAGTGAAACCAAGATGAATCAGGTAAGAAGAAACTGTACTTGTAACTTTGAAGTACTCAAGGTAGTCAAATAAATGGTAATATCAAAATGGTCGAGGCGACCAGGACAGAACCATGTGGATGGCAGAGATCCGGTTAATAAACTATTTGCAATACAAAAAATTTTTACTAAAAATTATACATGAGAAAACTGGCTTAATTTTACCTATTCATTTTAAATTGGATCACACTTGTATTATCATTAAAACATGAGCATCTCTGTTTAGCTGTTCAGGGACTTGAATCAGATGCTGTCTGGGAACACTTCCAAAATTGATGCGTGTATGCCAGTTTTATAATATTTTTCATGAAGGTTAGAAATTTGTTTATTAAAATACCTGGTATTTACCTTATCAAGTCTGGATCTAATACCAAGATTTAAAGTAAAGTAAAGGCAGCTGATGTCAGATTGTGGGGCTGGGGTGTGTGACGTGTCAGGTCGTCTTATACCCTAGATGGCATCAAGGTGTCCTCAACATGGAGGTTATGACCATCAAATCCAGCCACTCTAATGACAGAGTTCATAAGTCTCTCACACCCACCTTATCTAACTGGCTCTAATTTACCTAGGAAACAACATCCACCATAGTTTTATCTAATAATCTTGACAGCCTTTGCTGTTAACCGCTTTTATGGCTAATATTTATTCCCGGTGGTCACACATGTGTCAAAGATTAAACTAGCCAGACAAAAATGTGATCTCTCTTAGAGATACTTCAGTTAAGTGATTTGTGTATTCTTGTTTATATTTGTGGTAATGTATATTCATGGAGTGTGCTGATGAAAGCTCTCTGGCAGCAATGTTCATCTGTCGTCTGTGTTCATGATCATGTCAAGCTGACTGGTTCTGTTCTTTTAGTTCAGTTTGATATTTTTATAACATCCTTATATCCCAGGCCATAGTGTAATGAGATGGGATGGCCACTTTCTATTCACACCATCTTTCCTTCCCAAGTGATTTTATAAAAATGGTCTGGCACTGACACTGTGAGGCTGGACAGAAAAAAACAATCCTGTCACTGCTGGGGATTAAACCAGAACCCTTGTCTTGGCAGATAAGGCACTGACTACCATGCCACCAGGGCACAAACATACTTGCAAAACAAAACATCAGCTGCAGGGAATGGTGTGTTTGATTGGCCAGATCAATATCTTTCACAAATATATTGGAAACAAGTGATACTAAGAAATCAATCTGATGCAATGGATAAAAAAAAGTTAGTTGCGTATTCTTTACAGGGCATTGCGGAACCAACCCCAGCATTTTTAGGCTGTTGTGGTTTTTCTATGCAAAATTTACATTTAGTAGGATTGCCACTGCTTTCTGAACGGTCAGGTCTTAGTACCACTGTTGAAGCTAATGCAAGACATAGCTGGGATGGAACCCAGTACCCCAGCATTGGTACCACTGTTGAAACTAATGCAAGACATAGCTGGTATCGAACCCAGTACCCCAGCATAACGAAGTGCGTTCACAATACCTAAGCCTCAGAGCATCAATAAAGTAGCATAAAATAACAGATATCAACAAATGGGTGACCTTCAAGATAAAACGAATACATAACAAAAACACTGACCAATAGCATTATTTGAACAAAGAAATAAAAACAAAATTCCTTTTTTGTTTTAAACGAAAAAGTGCAAAACATGGACCATCTTTACTTGTAATCCTTGCGGACATGAGGGTTGTCTACTCATTTATAATTTATAAATAATATTTAACTTTATAAGTCTGTTTGTTTTCAGAACTATTAACAAATCACACTGACTAAACACCTCTTAAAAAACAGCGCATGTAACAATATTACATACCAAATATAAAGCTAAGAAATAATAAACTACAACAATGAATTAATTATATGTCATAAACATTCATGAGTTTATCACAGTTTGCAGAAAATTTCAGTGATAGTTGATGCAAAAAAACTTTTTAATGCGAAACCCCTGGGATGTCATTATTACCAATACTGAAGACTGATTTTGTTTTGTATTGGGAAGAAGTATGCATTCTGGTCGATAGACTGCATTCAGGCCTTAAATTAAGACACAGTCATAGTAATCAACATCGTATCATTCCCAGCCAGGTGCGCTAAAGTCATTTAAACAAAGATGGTATAGAAAACACTTTTATCTATAGGAGAAAAAAATGAAAGAAAATGTGAAAGAATAAATGTCCGTACACCGCAATCAGGACAAGTGACAGTTTTGACAATTATTTGGGGTTTGAAATACCTTATGAAATTCAATTAGGCTAGTAAGGAATGTAAAAAATAAACAAAACTAACAGAATGTGTATGGTTTTATTAAATCAAACATAGTTACAACATTCTCTGTTTGCCAGTAGGCAAGTGAACTTGTTTATCACAACAGACACACTGACTCGTATTGCAAAGTTAACATTACAGTTTCCCAAGAAAAAGTTACGTGTGAATTAATATGACACTGACCCAACACACAAGCATGAGCAAAAATACAGCCCTGATGCACCAAGTGCATGGTGTTAATATTCTTGATGGAGTATGGGTAGGTTAGCACACAGCGGTGAAACTGTGGAATGAGACTTATAATGTGAAGACAGTTCAAAGATGGCTTCAGAAGGGGAATAGGGGTGTCCACATGGAAGTCATTTCACACATGGTGACAGAAGACAACGATGCTGAAACATTTATTAACAAGGAGAACCCTTCCCAAAAGTCTCCTGTTGTGCTTAAACCGTGAAGTTTAGTTAACTAGTGCAATGAAACTTCAAGCAAAATCATACTTTGACAAATGTCTGACCCACATTTCTGTCATGAGTTATATTTGTGGTACTGTATATTTATGGGGTATACTGATGAACGCTCTCTAGAAGCAACGTCCACCTGTTGTTTATGTTTGTGATCATGTCAAGCTGACTGGTTCTGTTTTTTCTGTTTGGTTTGATATTTTCATGACATCCTTATATCCTTGGGGTTTTTCTCACGACACTTCAGACACCCCCACAGATGATCAGATTCTCCATTTGACCTATTTTAAACAACATTTGTAATATTCCTGGCCTCCTTCTCTCTAACCTCAAGCATCTCGTCCCAACATTTTTGACTGTTCCAAACAGCATATGTTTATGACGGACACATAAATATCAGGAAACACAGACTATGGTTATCACAAGAAAGCATGATGCAAATTCTACATGTAATAATTTCAGTGAATGGGAACTGTTAACCTTACCTAGGACAGTTCATATTATTAAATCACGGCAGACGTAAAGCTGAAGAATTTGTATGCTCAAATTAATTATTTTACAAACACACATTATGTTTTTTTTGGGGGGTTTTATATCTCATTTCACAAAATATCTGTTTGGTGTTCTGAACCAGAGACAGGAAAGTTACTTTACTTCAGGAACCTGAGAATGTTAGCCTCAAACCAGGCATCTGTAAACTGAAGGTGATCACCTGGTGCCTCCAGCAAGGTCAGACGTCCACTCTCATTAAGTTCCTTTAGTCCCAGAAGGTCCTGAAAAAAATAAAGAAAACAAAAACCTGTTTTAAAACTGTCTGCACGCTGCACTGTCTGGTATTTGGCACATTTTAGGGCAGTGCAGAATATAGGGGTCGTGAGCTTAAGGAGTTAACGCTGCATGGCTAGTGCAGTTGCACAAACTGTGCAGGTTAGGTTTTGTGTGTGTGTGAGTGCGCGCACAGCCCAGTGCTCTAACCACTTAGCCAGCTGATACAGCCAGTGTCAGAGATAATGGACATATATTTCATAGAAGGTTGGTTGGTTGGTCAGAGAGTCAATTAATTGACACATTTTTTGTTTACCTGTGAATCTTCTGGACGACTTTATAAGACTGCTACGTCAGGTGGACTTCTGAACTCTGAAAAGGACTGTAATGTATGTATGTATGTATGTATGTATGTATGTATGTATGTATGTATGTATGTATGTATGTATGTATGTATGTATGTATGTATGTATGTATGTATGTATGTATGTATGTATGTACGTACGTACACACGCACGGACGGACGGACGGACGGACAGATGGATGGATGTATGTACTGGAGTGAGGTCGTGTACAGACTTTTCTCCACATCAAAGTATCATTTCCACAAAGACTTTGTTTCAGAACCCCTCTTCCCTTCTACAACTTGAAGACACCAGCAGGGTGTGCAACACTGATACCGGAACTCCACATGTATATTACCACAGTGTAACTATGTAAATATTCAGCATGTCATATCAGAGTAACTATGTACGTATTCAGCATGTCATATGTGGATTGGCCAGGATTAGACTTAGGTCAGTAGTGTTTCATCCAAAGATTTGAGATGTTTTATAGTCAATAATGCAAAGTCTTCTCTTCTCTATCTGCTGCACCCCAGCTATCCTACCCCAGCTATCCTACCCCAGCTATCCTACCCCAACTGTCCTAACAGTCCAAGGTATTGGAAGGCACAGAATGCACATGTAGCTCAAATAGTGCTAGGCTGCTCTTCAGTAAAAGACGGTGGAAAAGATACTCTGATCGCTTGAATGTGGACTGGACACCAAATTTTTTAGGAAATAAAACACATATGCACAGTGCATTAAAGATTTCTAAATATGTGGGTATTTTAGGATGATTTTTGCATTGTCTAACAAAGAGGATTGATAACGATTGTGTGGTTATTTTTAGTCCGTGACGCATCGTTTTCCCGTACTATGCAAAAAGCCGAAAATTAGGGACAGCGGTATAGAGACTGGTTCAGAAATTCCCGGTTAACCGGGCCAGCGGTCTGGTAGGGTTAAGTTTTCTTAATGTGCATTCAAGTTCTTGGGGACTGAAAAGTTTACTCATTGGTTATTTTCTTGCTTTTTGTTGGCTTTCCTCAGTTCTCTCAACACTTCTTCTTTTCTCGATGTGGGCATAATGATTTTGCTTTCCTCTACAAAACTATCGGCCAACAGGTTTGCTGCTTCTTTACCAGTGAAAGTTTTCCCACCATCTTCAGTGACAGTGTTGGCATTGCTGGAAAGATTCTCCTCATTGAGACTCTTTACCAGATGCCAAAGCTTTTTTTACTGTCTTTCTCCATGTTGAGAGCTGCAGTCTTTTCTTGCCATCTTGTCCTTATGCAAGTGAGTTTTTCTCTTCTATAAATAGCCTGAAAGCTGAGGTATTTTGGACACGTCAAGCTCCATGCAAGGCTGGAGAGAACACTGATGGAGGTTGCAGTTCCCAGAAAATGATGTAGAGGCCTACCTTCACGAACATGGATACAGCACATTGAAGATGCATCGGCTGTGAAAGCAAACAAGGCTGGATAACCTGTCAGGCGTGTACAGCACATTGAAGATGTATCGGCTGTGAAAGCAAACAAGGCTGGATAACTGTTTAGTGAAAGAGAGACTATCAGGCGTGTCATAACAAGAGTGACATTCTGTAAGGAACATGCTGACTGATGAAACTGAAATGACCTACCCTCCATAAAAAATGTTAATAGGATAAAACCTGCCTACAAAAGACCTCAGCAAGTGTATGTCCTTGTTCAGGTTTATTACCTTTTGCACTCTTATTACAGTTTATCTTTGAGCAGATATAGTGCAACTGAATTTTTTATCAGGATAAATAAAAAAGAGTTCCCTAGAAATGCCCTGTTCATATATCACACATAGGGAAGGTGTCATCCCATGGCAGACAGGGAAGGTTTTGTCCTATGGCAGACACTGTAGAAGTGTTAAGGCTTTAACATATTTTAGTTCCTAGAATAATAAGGTGGGGTGGCTATTTCTTCTCCTCTCAAGATAATTATAAAACATGTCTGATGATTATTTTTGGAGGTAAAGTTAAGCCTGGAACATACAAGTTGGAAAAATAATTCTGCAACTTTTCGTGTAAGGAGGCACAGCAACCACTATGCTACCGTAACTGCAAGGTCATGGGAACGAAAATGTAAACACATGAAATAAATACCACCACTCACCTGCTGATAAAGTTTACTTTCAGTCATGTTGTACAAGGCTTTGCCTTGACCTTCAATGTAGAATCCAAACCACTGTGGAATAATGAGCAGACTATGAACTTCTGACCTTCTAATGTAGAGCAGCATATCAGAACCACTGCCTATTGAACACATCACATTTCATGCAGTGGGGCAAATAACTAAACAGAAACCATACTTATTCACATGTCTGAAATACCCCATCAACACAGTTGTAAAACTACAAACAGCATCTTCTTAGTTGCGTATCCTTTACAGGACGTTGAAGAACCAACGTGTGGTTTTTCTAGGCAAATTTACGTCCAGTAGTTTGCCATTGCTTTCTGGACAGTCAGCCCCCTGATACCACTGTTGAAACCAACGCAAGGTGCATGGCCCGCAGCTGGGATTGAACTCGGCATCCAGGATTGATGAAGCGTTCGCATCGACTTAGCCACAGAGCCGACCTTAACACACCACAGATGATAAATGTAAATGAATTACTTATACAACGGTAGGTTTGTCAGAATTTGTCCCCATTTGCGATACAACACTGATGCCACAGCATTAAGATCATGAACTATGAACTTTGTCTCCCTCAAAAGATACAAAAGAATATGGACACCTTCAATGCCTTTGCCCAGTTAGTTACTGATACCTTTGCTTTTTGTCTTCTGTAACAAACTTTAAGGAGGTAATTAAATGTCTTTTTCAATGTCTTCTCATTGCTGGCCGAACGGCTGGGAATGCTGGGCTCTCATGCGATACTGTTGTTGTTTTTTTTTTGGGGGGGGGGGGGGGGGGGGGAGATGGGCGTTCATAGAATTCTAAACATTCTGTAGAGAAGCTAAGTCTCTGTGGCCTTTAGTGACTGTATACTCTCTATATTCAGTGTCAGTGATATTGAGGCATACATATGGCTCTTATAATGACATTATTTGTATATTTATCTGTTGTTTTTCTCCATCTCAGTTCAAAATCTGTCTTCTCTCTTGTTTACTATTCTAAAATTTACGATCTCCCTCTGTCACATTGTTAACATTTTTACTCTCACTGCTGTAATTATTATAATTCTTCCCCTCATTGTTCCAATTTCCTCCTTAAAATGTTCTAATATCTTTCTTATGTTCCCGTGTGGTTTCTGGGGCCCCAGTTTGGGGAAACATGGACAGACACACTGCCACATAACAAGAATGTCATAAATGGTGACTGGTCAGAGGTGTTTCCTTAAAAGTGGGACTGCACCCGCCTGGGAGAAACAACCAGTCAACACAAAAATAAACCACATCTGAAACATGAATGTGCATGCAAAACTCAAGTTCTGGAACAAGAACAGAAGTGGAAGCGGTGAATGAGAAGAAGAAGAAGAAGAAGAAGAAGAAGAAGAAGAAGAAGAAGAAGAAATGTTTTCCTCTTTTCTAGTTCTAGCACCTATGCCCCTTCTCATCTCCCTTTTCACTGTTGTTAAAACATCCTTTTTCTTTTCCTTGCAAGCCTAGTATCTTGGTCCCCCCCCCCCCTTCTCCTCTCCTCCCCAGTTAGCTGTAGCATTTATATTTTTGTTTCCTGACAGGTCTAATATCTCTGTTACTTACCCTCCCTGTTGTAAGTTCTGTTTCCTAAATTCACGAATTCTGGTGTATCATTAAACTCACGAAAAGATTTTCTAATAATTATTTCCATTTCTTTGCCATCTGTTTGTTACTTCTCTCCCCTCTATTTCTTTTTTGCCTTCTTATACAAGAAAGTAGTATTTATCTATGTGACCTACCTCACTTTCCTTTGGGTCCACGATGGTATCATTACCAAACATAACTAGAACCAAGTTCTTTAGCTTCAGCAAATTTGCCTTGTATGTGGCATTGAATTGCTGCAAATGTAAAGCATGGTATAAGCTATCTGTAAGATTTATATTTAAGTTGTAAGGCATATAAGGTATTTATGTATGTGGATCAATTAACAGATAAAACCCATAAACTGGTTAAATGTTACAGTTACAATTGAGAGGACTGACTTCATTGCTCTAGGTTTTTATTAAGTACGGCTATAATCTCACTCTACAGAATGGCTAACCACCTTCCAAGAGCAACACACAAAGCACAAACTCCACTGTCATGGATCTACAGTCCATGTGTATGAGTGTATGATTGTAAAACTTGAAAGTAAGTATGATAGTGGTGAATGTAACAATCTTAGCAACGGAAGTCATACATGACATAAGTACCGGGTTTTCGCTGTAAAGCTGAAATTAACATACACAGATGGGATGGGATGGAAGAAGAAGGAACAGACGGTTTGGGACTGGAGAAGATTGACTGACCGCTCCCGGACGGTCCCATTTTTTAAAAGGATACTGCAGCTGCCACAGTGCAGCTATAGCACTATCTCACTTCAGAGTGCGAGACAAACGGCTTGACATTTCACCATAAACTGGTCAGATACAATATATGTAGATAGTTAAATATTTCCTGGACATGTTGTGAGGAGAAATTAACTAGAAAACTTAGTGACAACTGGAAAACTCAATGAAAGTGAGCAAAAGGAAAACAAAGAGATAAATACCTAGAAGGCTTGACAACATCTCATGGGCGGGAAAAGAACTCAGACATCATCTTTGATTCTGATGATAATATGAAATTGTGATCCCTTACGGCTTATACTTATCTGCACAGCAAATGAATATGATGGTATTTTCTTTGACTAAATAGCACAAAAATGATCCAACTATATGTTTTCCAGCATAATGATAAATTTTCCTCTAAAAATTTCAGGTATCAACTTCTATCAACAGGTATCAACTTATCAAGATTATAGTGACTCAGTAATATAACAATTAGACACCACTTTGTCTTTACTATAACCATTAGGGCGAGTAAACAAACCAGCCATTAAGCTACCACAACACACCTCCCTCTACTCTCTTACAAACGTCTACTTCTTCTTTATGTCCTCTTTTACTGCTTCGGGTGTCAAGGTCCTGCTTTCTGACAAACAAATGGACAAAAAGCTGAAAGTTGAAAGTTAAAGACATTGGTGAATAATGGGGACAAACTTTCTGCTTGACCTAAAACAAACACTTGACTGCCATTTCACCAAACATTTCAAATTCCCATTGCTATCTTTAAAAAAAACACCTGGCCCAGCATAAAACAGGTTTTAGAAAATATTCTGAATTATGTACGCAGTCATCTATAAATGTATGAGAATAGTAACACACACCCTACACATATCAAGATGCGGAAAGGGGCTTTTTTTAAACTATTTTCACTTACAGATAACAACTAACGTCAAGTTATCTCCCTTGACAGGAGGACACAATTAACATCAAGTTATCTCCCTCGACAGGGAGACACAATTAACATCGAGTTTAAACAACCCCAGCTGTTCGAAATTAGGAAGGCTGAAGACATGAAAACATACCCTCTCCTGGTTGATATCTGCCAGGAAGACACTCTTTGACCTGTATTCGGCTTCATTCAGTGGGTCATGCCAGTACTCAGCTTGTACAAGTCTGTCAACACACATACACCACAATCATGTACATATAACACACAACTGACGTCATTATTTACTCATTGATTCATTCAGTGGGTCATGCCAGTGTGTACTCAGCTTGTACAAATCAGTCAACTCATATACACACTCACAGCACAAGATAACATATTGATGATGCCATTATTCATTCCTTCCTTCATTTATTAGGTTGTGCAGGTACTTAGCCTGCACAGTTCATTTACTGACTCGCTTGATCACTCTCTCACCCACTGTCTCATTCATACACTCCCTCACTCACTATTCACTCTAACTCACACACACACATACACAATAACATACACACAATACAGTCATGTACAGATAACATCATTGTATTCCAGAAAGAGTCTATCAGTGTACCAGTTATTCTGCCTCTAACATGTTATTTGTGAAACAAAATATTGTAATGTCATGTGCCCCCATTCATGCTGCTTATTCCTGACATTTTGCTGTATACTACTGTTCTTTCTGTGAACTTTAGTATGACCAAAGTATTTTCACCTCTGTTTATAAAATGGTTTTCTTCAATGTACAGATTTGACAGATTGTAGTTTTCTTTTTGTCAATCAAAAGTATTTTAAGAATGTTTATAAGCTTTAATTAAGTTCAGTTTTGTTTATCTGGTTCAATTTTTTCAATCAATAACCGTACACATTTTATGTTTTTTCTTTAGTGATCATGAAATGGTAATTTATCAAAATAAATTTAAAAAAAAACACAACAGGTCCATCAACTTAAATGATTCCCTTTCTATTCTTCTATTTCTTGAATAGCTGAAACCAACCAATGAAACAAATCACGACCAATGTTATTTGTACATCCTTTATAGGATTTCCCAAACCAACATGTTGCTGCTCAACCACAGTGATGACCTCCTAAGACACACACAATTTATTATAGTCTTTGAAACAAATGATGGGACTATCACATACAATCATACTGACAAGGTACCACACAAGCGTTTAACAAGTCAAGATATTTTCGCTTACAAATTCTGAATCCATCTGAAATAAAAAAGAAAAACAAATTAGCCTACACAGATAATTGTAGAATTACTTGTAGAATAAGATAGACAATGGAAGAGAAGGTAAAAGTAGCTTCGCAGCTCCATCAGGAAAACAAAACTCCTGATTCTTTGCAGCTTATAAGGATTAAAAAAATTTTGGGGTTCACTTTAAGCATTTTTGTAGTTAATCAAGCTTTCTGCTGTCACAACATAGCTCCATACTCCAAGTTGTTACCGTTCTTCAAGCTGAAAATTCTGCTGAAAGGGACCTAAATTCAATCTCAAGGAAACATCAGGTGGGTTTCAGACCTAAAGGTGAGTATTATATTTGCTCTAGTCATGGTACAGATACTTCTTTTTAAGTAAACATTCATTTCTTTGGATAGTGGGTAGTGGAGGGGAAGGGGAGCTAAGGGTTAAATACTTCCCCTTGTAAATAAAGATCCTTTTCCCAAGCTTTGAGTCAAACTAGGTTTATGGTATCTAACAGAATCTGTAAAGTTGAATCAGCACTCAAGGGGTGACAAGCAAGAATAGATGATCAAGTTTAGAGCTTGCCAGTCCTGAAGAGCTTTAGAAGACATCAGCAGCAGCCTCACCTGGTAGAGAGACTCAGGTGACTCAAAACAGATAAATAGCTAGATAGCTTGACCACATGGCATGGATGTGAGACAGAGACCTGATCTGCATTTCTGGTGAACTATGACCCAATATACTTACTAACATGGCACATGATGACGATGATAAAAAACTACTATCACCACAATGTGGCCACCATATGTTCTTCCTCTTCAGCGATCTCTTTTCGACATCCTCGCTTTCTTAAACCCTTTATGTCCCATTATAGTGCCTGTCTGGTGATTTCCTGCTCGTTTGTTCTCAGGATGTGTCCAATATAGCGGCATCTTCTCTGTCTTATAACTGTTGATACCAGTGGTGGTTGTCCAGACATTTCTCTTATTTCTTCACCCCTCTTGAATTCATTCAATTTTATGTTCATAATTTCCCTCAAGGCTTTGTTTTCAAATGCATTTAACTTTCCTTCCATGTCTCTAGTGGTAATCTGACTTTAACTTCCATATATTAAAACTGAAATAACATTAGAACTGATAATATGTAACTTGGTTTTAAAACTATACAATTTAGAGTCCCAAATTGTGTTCAGGCTTTTGCATACTTCTGATGCCTTTTCAAATAGTTTCATAACTTCTTTATTTGTATTTACTTGACTATCAAAATTACCACCTAAATACGTAAATTTATCTGTTACTTTATTACTTTTTTTCTCTCCAGTGTGTTACATCTGCTTGACCTGTTATTGGTATCTGGAATAAATTTGTCAGTACTTATCATGAACCTGCCCACACGGCGAATGGTCCTTCCCTTTCCATTCATGTTACAAAAGGTCGCACGGCCTATGTTGTGCGGGGGTGTCATGTATTCCTTATTTTCAATGGTTTAACCATTCTCTCTTATCTTATTATTTCCACGTTGTGCTACTTGCCCAATGGTTTGGCAATAAGGAAAATAAAGATGTTTTTGTATTTATGTTCCTTGTTGTGGCTTTTTTCCTGTGAAGAAGCCACCATTAAGGAACGCAGACATACAAAAACATCCCAGTTGTGATACTCACGCCTTTGGCGCTTTCCCCTGCGGTACTTCTTACTTGTACACAGGTGCCTGCAGCGCCTCAAACAGACTCATGACAACACAGCCTCCCATGAACATTATATACGGCAAGCGAACAACAAACGAAGCCATCTCCTAACACACCCCTCCTCCCCCCCTCCCCCACACACACACAATATAGAACATATCGTGCGCGTGAATAGGAAGGGAAAGAAACTCGCATTGTGAAGGCGAGTTTGTGATGTTCCAATTTTTCTTCTTACAAATTATTTGTAGTCATACTTTTGATGCTGTATTGGCTAAACTGTCTGTTTTTTCTTTGCGTGGCATTGTTGTTTTGACTTAGCAGAATATCATCATCGGCAAAATCAACATCTACCAACTGTGTGTTCTCCACCCAGTCAACGCCAGTGCTTCCAACACATTTCTTTCGTTACTCAGTCAATGGTTACGCCAAATAACAGGGGAGATAAAAAGCTACTGAGCGAACAATGCTTAAAAAAAAATGCTGCTGTTTAACTTGCAAAATGGTTAAAAACTAAAATAAAAAACATTTCATTATGTATTCAACCGTTAACAAATTAATTTTACATACGAGACATAAGCGCCAAGGTTCAAGAGTTTACGGACATAGTTACACAAAGTAATGTTGTCTCCTGGGCATTTGGGGAATCCATACACACCTGAAAATAATGATCAGTTAAAGAGATATTTAGCAGAAGAATATCAGGGAAATAGTTTCATATCACTGGCTTCATTAAATGTCTGCCAAAATAAATAATGACTATAAGACAACAAAATGTCTCTACAGTACAGGAGAATAAGAGTGTTCTAGTGCCATCTCAGCCTGATGCAGAAAAACTCACACCTCACTTCCTAGTGGCATATTATAGCCATTGCACACTAGTGAATGAAGTTCAGGGGACTAAATACCCACAGGAAAAAGTGGACAACTCTGTTTCTGAGCTAAGCAAGTTGTCATTTACTTGTCTTCAAGCGGGAGATTACTGCTGAAAATAAAGGTCCCAAAACAGAGTATGGATGTAGATGTCGAGGTATAACCACTATATTATATTCCAAGAATAAACCTATGAGCATATATATATCTTGTGCAATATTTCTGGCATTCTTCTACAACTGATGTTTCTCTATCTTAACTTTTTTTTTTTTTCAATATTCAGCTGAGTCCCAAAAGCTTACTTAGTGAAATTGATTTTCTCCTCTTTAACTATCACGACTCTCCACTTCATTTTGTCAAAATATATTTTTTAAAAGCTTAGTGTTTTTTTTTAAAATCAAGCCTGCTTGCCATTGTTTAAGCTTTCACATACATGTTGTTTTCCCATTGCTAATTTAATTCAGTATTTTCTAAATGGCTGACTTCTCTATTCCATCTCTTATGAAGATTTCTCTATATTCTCTTCATGATGCCTATAGCATACCAAACCATTTAATATTATTTCCCTTTCTTCTGTCCGCCTCCAGGTTTCTTAGATCATCCACCTCTCCTTTCTCCATCTGCTACCCACTGGACAGTTTCCTTGCCAAAGTTTCACAAGACATTAAGTAAATATGTCCCAACCATCTCCATCTGCTACCCACTGGACAGTTTCCTTGCCAAAGTTTCACAAGACATTAAGTAAATATGTCCCAACCATCTCCATCTGCTACCCACTGGACAGTTTCCTTGCCAAAGTTTGACAAGACATTAAGTAAATATGTCCAAACCATCTCCATCTGCTACCCACTGGACAGTTTCCTTGCCAAAGTTTCACAAGACATTAAGTAAATATGTCCCAACCATCTCCATCTGCTACCCACTGGACAGTTTCCTTGCCAAAGTTTGACAAGACATTAAGTAAATATGTCCAAACCATTTCCATCTTCTCCTGAAGATGTTTGCCAGCGGTGAAAATATTGTAAATCACGTGTTGATGATTATGTGTAGTAACATGCATGCGGAAAAAATGATGACATACAACATTTTCTCATGTGATTCCCAGAGTTCCCATTGAGGGGGGGAGGGGCAGACCCACTGCTCTCCTAACAATCTTGTCATAAAAGGAGACTAATTATGGACTTGCTTAAACTGAATTTGCTGGGTCAAAAAGCGCAAATCTCACAGCCTTGCTGTAAACCTCAACACAATATGCCAACCACCCTTCAAGAGAAGAAGAAGATGCATATGACATTTAAACAGGCATTTTGTTGCGCTTTTAGAGATGTTGTCTGTTATCATTATGTTACTCAGTCTAGAGAAAGATTCCATAAATACAGTGATTCATTTTGAACAAAACAAGACTCGTCCACTATATGCTGTTAAAAAAACAAAAGCAAAAATAAGAATTCACCTTGGTGCTGTCCACCAAAGGATACCAAGTTGAGCATGGGAGGAGAGGGGCATCTCTGGGCCACAGCACGTCTGCAGACAAACAAGGTGACCAGATAACAGTAGTGCAATAATAACAAAACTGGAACATAAAAAACTTGATTTCTCCACTATAATTGTTTAGTATCTGACAGGAATATCCCAAAGCATTCTGACAGGAAAGATATTACACACATGTCTCAAGGCGTCTTTGGCTTCACCATATGATTATTATCATGCACATTATTTTCCTTCAAGATATTTTTGTTATGTTGTATCAGTAAAAATATATTTTGTGTGTTGTACTTCTGTCACTCAGGGTTGCCAACGCATTTCATAATGCTAAGATACAGAGTTCAATTCCAGCTGTAGACGATTTGACAGCAGACCACTTTGGATTGATTTCAACAGTGGTGCTGAGGGCCAACCATTCAGCAGCAGCGGCACAATTGTAAAATTGCCTAGGAAAATCACAAACAGCCAGAATACATTGGAGTTGATTCTGCAACATTCTGTAAAGGATATTCAGCTAACTTGAAAAAATAAAAACCAAGACATTTTTCTTATATTTCACGCAACAATATTTCTGTTAGTTGTTTTGGAAAACATTTGTGAATGTTGTACTGCAGGGCATTGTTGTCAGGTTTTGTTCCAGTACATCATTCAATACCATCATCATCTTGTCCTCTTCTATGCCTAAGCTGTAATTACTTCTGGTTTATCCCTGTTGTAAACCCTTTCAACATATTCCTTTGCCATGATGAACTGAAAACAAATGTTACAATGTCTATAGTCCATTCAGAAGTTCATGAACACATCTGTAATCGATTTTCTTGAAAACTGCCTGTTAGATGGCATTGATTTTTACATGCAGCTTTTGAATATCCATAACCCAAAAGATAGTGCCGTTCTTTAGTCCATGGATGGTGAGGATTTTGTTATCAGCCAGTTCCTTTGATCTTTTCAAAAGACTAAATAAGAAGAATGAAATTTTAGATTTTACAGTAAACATGTTAATTTCCAGTTCAAGCTCAATTATTTTAGAGACATATCTTCAATATAGATGGGGCTCTATCCAGACCAAGCATTAGTGTTGTCGGTTTCTCTGGGTCCTGAATATAAATGATCCATCTTATATTCCCTGTGAAAGCGCTGGTAAAGTAAAATGGTAACCTTCTGCATAGTTATAAGTTTGCACCTCAAACTCTTTATAAAATTGACGTTGATGTTAGTTCTGCAAAGCCTGCTATATGACATAATAACTAAACATTAATTTGTGGATACACCTTTAACTAAACAACCTTGAATGATGTTTTCTTTTGGGTTCTGTCCTGTAACAGTATGACTGCACAAGAAAATCGTGAAATTACAGTTTTTCTTTGACCCCCATTAATTACTTCCTGAAACTAATAATAGTAAACCTTCCAAAACTCTACCAATATAGTTTTGTGTTAAACATATATCGTAAGGAAGAACAAAAATTGTCTTCTGTAAACTAACAATGACCAGAGACCAAATCTTACAGAAACTGGAAAAGTGTCATTTATAAAAAACTAACAATAATCAGAGACATTTATAAATCTTACATCTTACAGAAACTGGCCTCCCTAGGAAAAAGTGTCATTTATAAACTAACAATGACCAGAGACTAAATCTTACAGAAACTGGCCTCCCTGGGAAAAGTGTCATTTATAAACTAACAATAATCAGAGACTAAATCTTACAGAAACTGGCCTCCCTGGGAAAAGTGTCATTTATAAACTAACAATAATCAGAGACTAAATCTTACAGAAACTGGCCTCCCTGGGAAAAGTGTCATTTATAAACTAACAATGATCAGAGACTAAATCTTACAGAAACTGGCCTCCCTGGGAAAAGTGTCATTTATAAACTAACAATAATCAGAGACTAAATCTTACAGAAACTGGCCTCCCTGGGAAAAGTGTCATTTATAAACTAACAATAATCAGAGACTAAATCTTACAGAAACTGGACTCCCTGAGAAAAGTGTCATTTATAAACTAACAATAATCAGAGACTAAATCTTACAGAAACTGGCCTCCCTGGGAAAAGTGTCATTTATAAACTAACAATAATCAGAGACTAAATCTTACAGAAACTGGCCTCCCTAGGAAAAATGTCATTTATAAACTAACAATGACCAGAGACTAAATCTTACAGAAACTGGCCTCCCTGGGAAAAGTGTCATTTATAAACTAACAATAATCAGAGACTAAATCTTACAGAAACTGGCCTCCCTGGGAAAAGTGTCATTTATAAACTAACAATAATCAGAGACTAAATCTTACAGAAACTGGCCTCCCTAGGAAAAGTGTCATTTATAAACTAACAATAATCAGAGACTAAATCTTACAGAAACTGGCCTCCATAGGAAAAATGTCATTTATAAACTAACAATAACCAGAGACTAAATCTTACAGAAACTGGTCTCCCTGGGAAAAGTGTCATTTATAAACTAACAATAATCAGAGACTAAATCTTACAGAAACTGGCCTCCCTGGGAAAAGTGTCATTTATAAACTAACAATAATCAGAGACTAAATCTTACAGAAACTGGTCTCCCTGGGAAAAGTGTCATTTATAAACTAACAATAATCAGAGACTAAATCTTACAGAAACTGGCCTCCCTGGGAAAAACCGAGAGCATTGAATCCATTCTGGAGTTTGGGGTCCTTCTTGAGCTGGGCACAGACGATATCAATCTGTTTGTTGACATTCATGAGGAAGCCGTTCTCCATGTCCTAGACACAAACAGAGTCAGCAGAGTCTTCTATAAACTGTGTGTCTCATTCTACACACGAACGTCATAACGGCAAAAAAATGAACAATGTGTCATACTAACATGTTTGTATGATCTAACCATGTCTATACATTACCAGATCTTGTGTCTTTGTATGATTTGGTCATTTCATGACCACTAGATTAAAACAAACAGACAAATTTAGTTGCATAGCAGATACCCAGATGACATCTGCTGGGTCCAGCAACAAATACAGATACAGTGCTGTTAAATTCCCAGCTCCCACGGGGCCTGAACCTGAGACCTCTAGTACTTAAGGCAGACACCATGCCTCGAGATCACACAGCCCCCCCCCCCCCCCCCTCTTATAAAGACAATCATCCTAGCAAGTAAAAGTCCCTTTACCACCAGCGGCACATCAGACGTTTTAGGCTGGGTCGATGTGGGAGCCAATTTCATTTATGAAAAAATCTGGCACAATAATTAATGAGGATAACAACCCACAACCTTCAGATCCATAGGTGAGCATCCAGCCGCTACACCATGGTGGCTTCCAATCATCCTAGCACCTGACAGATTCACTGGTGCTCTGATCACCTGCACAAAATCTACACAAGAGTCAAATGGTCCATCGCCCCTATTCTGGTTTGATTAATAAAATAGCCTGTGCCTTTGATGCTCATGTGTAGCAGCTCCAAGTTGCACCAGATAACGATTGGTACATAAAGATAATGTTTCACAAATCAGTGTTCAGAATATCATCAGATATTTTGTGGGGGTTTCAGTGTGTGGTGTCATTCAAAAATTTCTCATCAACTGACAAGAGACAGATGTGTGAAAGCAAGTCATTTAGGGTACAGTAGGGTATGATGTCATAGTATTCTTACTTTTAAGAGATAGAAAAGCAACATATGTATAGCTTCCTGTTTCTTCTAAAACAGTATAGGAACATGTGGTTTGTGGGATATGATTTGTCTGGAAGATTGTAAGTGCTAATTCTAAAGTCTGATACATTGAAATTCGAGTCACCTGACCCCTGGAAAGGACTTCCATCAATTAGATTTAGATTGGTAATAGACTTTTCTTCTAATTACGTAGCAAATCATAATGATTCCTGCACTTGCGTTGAGACATTTTCTTCCTCTCCAAGATGCTCACAGACCAACAAGGTGTGCAGGACAAATACTGGGGCTTCACAACTGAGGGTCCCCATTGGGTTCCAGGGCAATGTTATAGGGAAAACAAGAATAGACCCACTGCCCACCTAAAAGCATGTGGTAAGAGTCAACTAATTAGGAGCTTAATACGAAGTCGGAGTGCATCTGCCTGAGAGGCAAGGAACTAACAGTCTGCACACAAATTAGTCAGATCTGTCAAACAGATGCACATGAAACACTCTGGTTCTGGAACAAGACTGCAGTACAGAAGTGGACGAACAACCAGAACTTTCCACCAGAGTTTACAGCTGGTGAATGCGAAGAAAGAAGAAGAAGAAGAAGAAGAAGAAGAAGAAGAAGAAAAAGAAGAATAGGAAAACAACTGAGGTGATGATAATCCTCAGAATGCTGGTCAACCTGTGCACTGATTTATAGCCAGATGTGGCAAGTCTTGTTTCCACTGCACTTGACTAACAAGAGTGGGTTTTGCTAGCAGGCACATGTGTTTATTTGTAATTCACTCAGTCTTAAGCAATACACAAGTTATAATCAGCTACCATATGTGTGTATCACACAATGTGTATCTGAATGTTGAATTACGAACTGACATCACAGCGCTCGGGATACTTTAAAAAAAAAAAACTTCCATCTTCAGCAGCGAGCAAAGAGTTCCAGTTCTGATGGCACCAGTAACTGTCCCCACACAGATCACTTACAACCAAAGCGCCCTCACAACATCTAGCTTATCATAAGACAATTCACCAGCAGGTGGCGCAGGATCGGCCAGTCTATTTGCTTGCTCATTTCCCAACATACTGCCATAACCTTTAGAAAATATCCAAAGAATGCTAACTACCCAGGACCTCTGAAGCAGGCCTGTCTCCAGCTTTCTCAGTATGTTCTATGAGTCAGTTATAATTACGACGTGTGTACAGCTAAAACATAATGTGTGGTGTATAATACTTTTTGACCTCAGTATACTAAGTAAACCTGGCCAGGTTTAACAAGTAACACAATATATTTTGCGCCACTGAAAGTAATATACACATACATTTTTCAATGTGCTCAGGGCTTAAAACAGTTACTGGGTGTCATTGGTTCTTTTTCGTTTGACAACAGAAATAATAATACCAGGCACACTTAAACAGCACAGGTACGAACCTCAACAATGCTGTTCCCAATCTCCAGTGACAAAACATAAACTCCACCACCAACTTGTTGTTCCACCAACTTCTTGATGGAGCCCATGCTCAGTGGATTACAGCAACTGTCCCCTGTCAGACATACAGACATACAGACTTACAAAAATGCTATAGCAGAACACAGTCAGCTGGATGAACTAGTCACTCACAGTCTAAATTTGAAAATCAGAAAATTACACCCTCCCCCTGCCAAAAATAAAAACACACACACACACACACACACAAAACTATTTAAACATGCATAGAAAATGTGATTCTAGCTGGTCAGTGATCAGTCCAACCATTTGTTGGCAGGCTAAGTGAGCCTCTACTAAGCATTAATACAAGTTAATACTCTGGGACATCTGCTCAATATGTAGGATAGGAAGGTTTACTGTTTTTATTGTGGACAGTTTTACATTTTCCTCCATATGTAGACTTCTTCTTCTGCGTTTATCTGAAAACATACATGTGTTGTGCCTGTTTACAACTTGGCTGCGATATTTGTGCTTTTCGGCCGACACATTCAACTTCTGCAGGTATATGTTGCCCTGGTTAGCCTTCCTGGATATGTACCTCCAGCTACTGTGAGCTGTAAATTTCATCTAGAAGGCTTTTAGACTGTGTCCAACGTGGTTTGTGTTGTAAATTTCATCTGGAAGGCTTTTAGACTGTGCCCAACGTGGTTTGTGTTGTAAATTGTAGATTCAGAAAATAACTAGTGACCTGTTGCCACATAATTAGTGATGCCTTATGTTATTAACTGAATGTGCAACTACTGATCCGTTGTAACTGCTGCTTCCATCAATAATGAAACTGCATTTCTAGTGTCCGACTATTTGTGTTGGCACTTCTTACGACTGGCAGTCTTATGCATTTAATGAGTGTGTATGTTTTTGGATTTGCCGAGGCTGCAGTCTGTGTACATTTTTAATTTGGGACAAAGATGGACATTCTACATGGGGTTCGTTGGCACAGGAACAGAGCAACTATGGGGTGACTCATTTGCTATGAAGGTGACACTGCCATTACTTGCTTACCTGAATATTTAGCACTATCACTGTCAGTTTAGTCACCTAGGGTTAGGGCTGACTTTTTTTTTTTTGGTTAACCAACTATATGTGCATTCGCTTCTCAAAGATGTGAGAGACCTCTGAGGTCATCAAAGTAAATTAATAAAGTGAAAAAAGAATGCATGATTGACACTTGTAGAAAGAAGAGCACAGGACAAAGATGCTACGTGTGCTATTGTGCACCTCAAGTGAGCTGCTAGCCACTAAATGTAGTGTACATCTGACTGCCAGTCTCATATGTCTGCATATACCAATGTCTTCCTTCACATGCTAATCAGTACCTTTAAGTTGACTCTGGTTCATTTCTCAGACTTAGTAGATGACTTGTAGATAGGCTGTAGATGGAAAACAACATCCACCAGCAACTAAGACTGGCTGGCCAGCCAGCAATGTCTGCAAGCTCTTTCAGCTTTTATAATGTTCATAATCATAGACTCTTGTGGGAAGTTTCAATTGCAGGAGACCGTAATCCCAGGCCTGCATGATCTGAGTTATAACTGGTGATTCTGTTTTTGGCAGACATGGAATCCAACACCTCACCAGGGTAGGGGGAAAAAAAACCGTGGCGGCTTCCTCCCTCTAAAGTTTCTTCGGCAGTCAAACCAGACAGACTTGCCTCAGTAACACAGCGTATTTGCTTTACTGTCCAAATACTGGATGCTATTTTCAGGACTTGAAACTTTTCTTCATGAATCTTTCAGTGTCTGCTTAGTGCTTCTGCTTCTTCCTCTGCTTCGGCTTCCTTTTATGTCCTAAGCACACTGGTGGTCCCATTCAGACTTCTCCTCTACAGCACAGAGAGCGACATAGAATCCACGGAACCCTGTAGGGTATGACAATTTGCTTGAATCCACGACCTCAATGATTTCAGGCTGACTGCTGTGTTGACTGTCCGTTTAACTAGGAAAATTATATTTGCATGTATGTATGTTGTACCCCACCAGGACATCACACAAAGCGATAGCAGTAGTAGATTTTCACCCCACACAAGCGATAAACACCCGATGACACAAAGTGCCACCATGTGGATGAGGTTCACCCGTGGAGAGGTGCTAGAAACCGCGTTCAGCCATTAGACCATATTTATGGTCGGGCTACATTACGGTCTCTGGCAAGAGCCAGGGTGGGGCTTCAAAATAAAGAAAAATTGCATCTCACAAGGATTGCACAAAGTGATACGGACTGACTGACTTTCTACCCCACCAGGACATCACACAAGCGATAAACACCCGATGACACAATGTGCCACCATGTGGATGAGGATCACAGTTGAAAGGTCCCAGAAACCGCGTTCAGCTATTAGGCCATATTTATGGCCGAGCTATATTGCGGCCCCTGGCATGAGCCAGAGTAGGGGCTCTCCTTTTAACTACGGCCGGTAGACATCAGTAGACGGCCGGTTAGTCGGAGTTCTGTCCCCTGGCTACAGTGCAATTACGGACTGGAGAAGGCATGAATCAAACAACACAGTAAGCTCGACATGCCTTGCAGACTCCGCGCTGCGACTCAAATTAGCAACCGCGTTCAATTACCGCTTCTTGCGACGCATTACAGAGTGGATTAGAGGAAACAAAACAAGTGACATAATTACTGTGTGTTGACGATAGACAGCGTGCACTGCCCTGCTATAATCATACGATTAGGGTTTGGGTTAGGGTGTGGGTTAGGTTTAGGGTTAGGGTTAGGTTCAGGGTTAGGGTTTGGGTTGCTACTTTGGGTTTGTGCCAAGACGAGATGCGGCGACACTAACCGTAACCCTAACCCACACCGTAACTCTAACCCACACCCTACACCTAACCCAAACCCTAATCGTCTGATCATAGCAGGGCAGTGCACGCTGTCTATCGCCAACACACAGTAATTATGTCATTTGTTTCGTTTACTCCTGTCCAGTCCGTAATAGCCAGAAGCAGGTCAGCAAGTAACATATCGCCGAGACCCTGTCAGAGCATTTGTTTCGTTATCCGGAGCCGGCACATATATTTTTAATAGAACTGACCCGCATTCTGATATTTTTGGATATTTAATGGCAAGAAATTGGCCAATTTAGCTCTCTTTCGAACGCCATCATATTAAAGCCGCCATTTTGGGGAACAAGTCAAAGGAGCGCCTAATATTATTATTTAATTAAAAAAAAGGACGGCAGGATTAAAAGGGGTATTGAAAGCGATACCTATTAGTTACTTCACTTATAAGAACAACATAAAAACAATTCATGTAAGATTGAAAATCGAATAGATACCCATCCCGTGCCACATCACAACGGGAACTGGATCGGCCAGTGTCAGTACATAACTGCCGTTCAAAGCTAGAATCAGAAGAACAGCGCCAAGACAACTCATGACAGCCATTTTGTAAAGCTTCAAGTCATGTGACTACGTTTACTTCCCTTTGATTAGTTAGGAATGCATGAATAAATTGACATCACTGCACTCGGCTGAGCAGTCATACACATGCTCCTTCTCCTTCGTCTGTAACCAAGGAAGAGCTGACATGCTAATAGTACCAGTTGCATCCTGATTAAAAGTCCGCCTTTGTTTCATTTTAACGTTGAACATCTTCTAGAGCCTTTACAGTCTACACCCCCCCCCCCGGTTGAATAAGCCTTTCACTTTCAGTATATGTTCTTCTGCACTATCCTTTATATTAAAGCATTTGACTGTGTGAAGCATGAGGGAGTAATCAAGCTATTAGAAAAATTAAACATTGACGGAAAAGATCTACGAAAAATACATAATATGTATGTCACCTGATTTGTTTTCAATATACAGTGAATGTATAATGAGAGCTTTAATTGAGTATGCCCGGAATCGTGGTTGGTGGGCAACAATTTACGTTATGCTGATGACACAGTCTTGATAGCAACAAGTCAGAAAGAACTACAGGAAATGATAGACATTGTGGTGGTAGAAAGTGGAACAATGGGCGGCCTCAGTTTGAATAATGGAAAGACAAAAGTAATGGTGGTATCAAAGAAAAGAATTATTCCTAAATTTATAATAAAAGTCAAAGGTGTTATTTTAGGACAATTGCAGAAATTTAAGTATCTGGGCACATGGATAACATCAGATGGAAAATGCATCACCGAGATAAGAAACAGAATAGGACAAGCAAAAACTGCATTTTATAAAAAAAAAAATAATTCTTGCTTGCTTCATACACCTAGTTTTGACATATGGCTGTGCATCCTGGGCAATCTGTAGGCAGGCTAAATTCTTGAGGAGAGAAATTCAGTACCGTTGCGTACTGCAAGAGGGGTGTGAGGAGCTGAGACCCACCAAAACTGGACTACATGTAATTTCGTAATCGTGTGTGTGTGTGTGTGTGTGTGTGTGTGTGTGTGTGTACGTGCGTGCTTAATATAACTGTGATATATGGCTAAATGGTTGAATGGGGTTTCCGGAATTTGTACCTGCTTGATTCTCGTCCTTGAGATGTTATTATACACTGGAGCAAGCATTAACGTTAGGGCCGAGAGGGAAAAAGGGGGAGGGGGGGGCATAGAGTCGTTAATTCTTGGAAGGAGAGGTGGTTGTCAGAGCCGTGTTAATAGCATCATGGGCCCCTGAACAAAACAGTGTGCTTAGGCCCCTGGGTAAAACAATGTGCTTAGGCCCCTGGGTAAAACAATGTGCTTAGGCCCCTGGGTAAAACAGTGCGCTTTGGTTCCTACGACAACCATTCATATACAGTGCTGGAGTTAGGCATAATCTAACTAAGCTGTAGCTTAGGACCACACAGACTGTATGGGCCTTTAAAAATGCATATCAATGCAATTTTCTTTTAATATATTTTTAAAAACATGCTCCATAAATATTCACATTTTATTAATATCATTTTAGGTGTAACTTTGGCTTCCGTTTATCCTCAGTTGTTGTAGGCTATTTATATTCAATAAAATAATCAACTTGATATATGTCTTCAGTCTGTTATTAACTTGTATATTTTAAACGTTTTCCATATTAACTGGTGTAATTTAAAACGGCAGGGGCCTCGTATTGCTTAGGATCTCATCAAGACTAAACCCGGCTCTTCTCGCAGCAACGAAATTGTTATTTATGGCAAGTCACTTAACATCCACATATGAGCATCGACCCCTATGCTCGTGGGGGCCCCCGGAAAGTGCATAGTAGACCCACGCGTGAAGACGGCCCTGGTAGTGGTCAGCCAGCACGAAAAGACACAGAACGTTATAGATATATCAATGTTTGTGAAAATAACATGACACAGTTAAACTGGCAAAGAGGGTGTGAATCTATTCGACGGGCTGTGATGGGAGCCATGTTCAGTAAAGGGTCTGATAAATGATTATGCTGAGGATGACAATGACCATCTATCAATATTTTTCGGTACCAGCGGAAAGTTAAATTAGTTATGAATCAACGCATGGTGCGTTCTTTTGTACTATAGGAAGACTGGCTGTAGGTCGTACCAATGCGCATGACAAACCGGAAACTGCCGGTTGCGAGACAACAACTGTAAACATTTAACACGTTAATGGCCCCTGTCTGAAGTTTATGCAGTTTATGTGGAGACAGTTTTGAATAAGACGTCAACTTCACAAAATAAAAACGTTTAAATATGTTTGATGTTGCTCTGTTGTCTGCAGGGGCGCACATAGCCTTGGCCACATCCAGCGATGAGAAGCACCCCCCGGAGCATATGCTCGACGGGTGGGTCAGAAGTCTGAGAAGATTGTTAAAAATAAAATACAAATAATAATAATTACATTACAAGTATAAGACATGATGATGGAAAAAAAGGGGGGGGGGTGGGGTGATCCAGGCAGACGTTGCTTATTGCATTATTATTAAGAAAAAAATAGTTTGCACAATGGTACACTATCAGGGATCAAGTGGTTAGCAGTACAAGGTTTGACAATTAAGTAATAAATAAGACTGATTGTATTAATATTATGTTAGGTTTCGTGTCCTTTACAGGACTTTGCAGAACCAACCCCAACAGCCCTTGGCTGTTGTGTGGTTTTTCTAGGCAAATTTACATCCAGTAGTTTGCCATTGCTTTCTGGACGGCCGGCTTTCTTGATACCACTGTCGAAACCAACGCAAGACGCATGGCCTACAGCTCGTATAGAACCTGGCATTACGAAGCGTTCGCATCGACTTAGCCACAGAGCCGACGATTTTATTATGACCAAGACAAAAAAGCCATCTATGAATCAAAGCATGAAAACCTTCATCTATGATTTGGCAAATTTTCATTGTCGCTCGATAAGCAGACGTAGAACAAGCCGCCATTTTGTTTACCTAATCAGAGTTGCATTGTTACATAATCATCATGGAGCAAAAAGCTAACATTAAATTTTGTGTAAAACTCTGAAAAAGTGCCATTGAGACAGTTGAATTGATGCAACAAGTTTTGGGGGATTTTTGTTTATCTTATATACAGATTGTCTGGTGTTATTCATGATTCAAAAGCGGTGTGGAAAGGATTACTAATGCACCTAGACTTGGACACCTAATTTACTGTTTGTAATGAGGAACTCTTTGCAAAAGTCAGAGAACCGATACAAGAAGATCGTTGTTTGACTGTGAGGATGATAACAGATGAATTTGATGTTAATAGAGAGACCATTCGTACAATTTTAGTGGAAGATTTGGGCAAGAAAAAACTTGCTTGCTGATTTGTACCACATTCATTGTCTGATGACCAAAAACATCAGAGTTCTGAATATGCAAAAAACATCAAAACGTTTCACAGAAATAAACATTTCATAAATTTGATTGTTGCAGAGGATGAAACATGGATTTTGTGCTATGATCCCACAACTAAAAGTGCTAACTGAAAGTCATCATCATCACCAAAAGGCAAAAAAATCCATCTTCAAAAGTCAGAAGTGAAGACAATGTTGGTATGCTTCTATGACAGCAAAGGAGTTATTCATAAAGAATTTATTCTAGAGGGACAGACTGTCACAGCCACAGTTTATTTAAGTGTCTTGAAACGTCTATTGAAAAAGATTCTCAGAGTCTGACCTGAGAATACAACACCTGGCAGTTTTTTTCTTCTTCATGACAATGCACCCGCTCACTAGGCAATAGTTATACAGGAATTTTTGGCCCAGGAACAAGTCTATGTTCTCAACCATCTACCCTATTCCCCAAATTTGTCTCCCTGTGATTATTTTTTATTCCCTAAATTAAAGTTACCATTGAAAGGACGCTTCTTTGACAATATTGATGACATCCAAAGGGCGGTAACATCGACTTTAAGGGCCATAACAACAGAAGAACTACAGAGGTCGTTCAGTTATTTGTTAGATCGTGCCACTCGCTGTATCAATGCTTCTTTAAATTAAATACAGGTTGTATCTTCAACTGTTGATTATAAATTTTTTTGGGTAATTAGTCCAATTACTTATTTGTCAGACCTTGTAGAACAGTCCACACCTGAACTAAGGCTTTTGGTTAAAATTAGTAATATTCTGGAACAGAAGAATTGTGGGCTGCAGTGATCTTGCGGCATCTAAAATGACAGGGATTGGTTTGATGCAAAGCTATCATTTCTTGTTTCCAGAAATTCAGAAACATTTTGGTCAACAACAGGGATGTTCCCACAGGAAGTGGTCATAAAGTTTCAAGCCCTGATGAAAATCACCAATGTTCATATATGTTCATATAACAGTAAGTGCCTTTATTTTCACCTGTGATATTCAGTTCTGTCAACCCAATTCTGTTTACTGTCTGTGTGTTTCATATTTTCTTCTTTTTGTCTAAATTTGCTTTGTGCTGTTAGAGCTTATGGTGTAACGGATGATAGGTAGCTGAGCAAGGGCATGCGCTGTTGCTTGGTATGCTGTGATGTCTTACGCTGTCAGTGATTCCTTCAGTTTATATTTCCTAGGTCTCCCTCTGCCACATTATGTTTCCATTTTAACGATGCACGCTGTTGCTGCTCTTATCATTGGGTTTATTCTTTCTTGGTGGTTGAACCATTTCATTCCTTGTTTCTCATTGATTTTCATGATTGGTATTGTTCCAGTACTTCATCTAATCTCTTCATTTCTCATATACAGCGTCTTCTGGTTTTGTTTGCAGCTTTTCTCAAACAACTTGCAAGATGTGTGACTGTGCTTCTTATTTTGATAAACCAGGCTTCTTATAGTCTCTAAAAGGTAATGTAGTCTCTAAAAGGTAATGTAGTCTCTAAAAGGTAATGTAGTCTCTAAAAGGTAATGTAGTCTCTAAAAGGTAATGTAGTCTCTAAAAGGTAATGTAGTCTCTAAAAGGTAATGGTGATCAAAGAGACCTGCTCATAAAAAGCATCATGTCTCACAAACTGAAATACTTTAGGCATATTGAATATGAAAGTGGCTTGGACAGAGTAATAATGCAAGATATGTTCTTGAGTGACCTGAGTGGCGTTGATCCCTATTAGGACCACACAACGAGTGATAAACACCCAATGACACAAAGTGCCACTATTTGGATGAGAATCCCCCAGGCGCAAGTCCTAGAAAACCCATTCAGCCAGTTAAATTAGGGCCCCAGACTACAGCCAGGGTGGGTTTTAAAATAACAAAAAAACAAAAACAAAACCAATTGTATACCATGTTGGGATGGGATTTTACATTAGGATATGTTCATGGGAGAAAAGGAAGGAGGATAGAAGCAAGAAATTAACACTTTCTGTCCCAGACAATGCACTTCGTGTGACTGTATTATTCACATGTACCAGTCAACATGTGTACATTTTTATATTTTATATTCCCATGTGGGCTCCGGTCTCATTGTGGAGAAAACAAGAATAGACCCATTACCTACCCAATATGCATGTGATAAGAGTCAACAAATTGGGGGCTTCCTTTGAAGTCAGAGTGCATCTGCCTGAGAGGCAAGGATCCAATGCATATAAATAAGTCAGATCTATAAAACGTATGTGCATGCAACATTGAGGTTCCGGAACAAGTCTAAAGTCCAGACTTGGTTGGACAACCAGAACTTTCCGCCGGAGTTTACAGCCGGTGAATGCAAAGAAGAAGAAGACGTTTTTTGTTTAGTGAGCGAGTCTGAAGGTCTTGGAAAATGTGTGTACCTGCAAGGGTTCTTTATTTGGCTTCTCTGGAAGAAGTAAATCTATGATTTTAATATTGTCATTCTGAACTCCTTCATACATTAGGTAGGACCTTGTGGGACTGAAATAGTTTAAAATCCTTTAGGCTAGAAAATGTATGAGACAGGAAAACTAACAAAATATTGAGAATTTGTTCATTGGGATGTGTTGGGAGCAACATTTTGCAAAGGGCATATTACCTGCACATGATAATTCCATTTAATATGTGAAATATCTTTTTCTTTTTTCTCAGTTCACAGGATAAGGCTGGAAATTTCAGAAACAGATGACAGCAACAAGTATGAACTTTTGGCAGAACGAGGTAATGATGTTAATCTCAGTCGTTGTGATGTGTCTTTGTTCTGGAAAAAAAAATCCTTTCAGTGTAAAACTTTCTCTCTCAGGAAGGGAAAACAAAACAGCTTTAGGTCAGAGTGTATTTACAAAACTATGTGGAGATGGCAAAGTAGAAGTAGAAACTTGAATAGAAACAGTGAAAGTTAGAACAAGGACAGAACACCTTAGTTGGAATAGCAGGAAAACATAAGTAATGGCAGTTACAGATGCTCATCTGCTGGCCCAAAGCAGTTAAGCCATTACTTGTTTGTAGGAAGTGGGTTATTACGCAGAGTTATGGTGAACTGAAAATCAACAAGTTTTGGCAGCCTTGACATTCCCTTTTCCAGAATCTTCTTTTCTCGCCAAAACAAGCTATTGACATCAAACTGATGTTGTCTGGCCTTGGCCTTCTTTCTAGAAGTTTTGAAATGCATTCTTTTCATCATGTGACCCAACCTTGTCGTACTAGTGAATACCTTGTTGACGTGCCCTATCAAAGCAAACACAATTGTCCTTGTTTTTCTAGAAGCTTCTATGACCTCAATTGTCAGTTTAACTACTATATCTGCGTAGAATAGGATGATGAAATCTGATGCAATCGAGATATAATTAGCAAATCCCATGTGAGAACGTACATAGTAAACAAGTTTAGACGTACTAGAATATTCTAGAAGCGGACAAAGCGAAACGAAAACAAATACCTAGCATTCCAGCATCCAAGTATAAATAGCGAGCAACAAAGCACTTTAAAAAAGATTCTTCAGTCCACAAGACTCGAGAGAGAGGAGAGACCAGTCACATGGGCTCTCCAGACAGCCTTCAGTAGTAGAGATGTAAGCCCAATACTAGAAGCCTTCAGTCGTTGAGACTCAGAGGACGAGCGTCTAGTCTCAATGATCCTTGATGCCAGCTCAACACTGGAAGCAGAGCAGCCGTTCATTTGGAACCTTAAAGACAGTCACTGGAGAGCAGACATGAAACGAGACATCGAGCTACAGAGACGACACACAAGATACATGGATCCATGGTTAACAGAGACATATTAGGTAGGAACTATAGAGATGTTAGAGTCGACGATCAATCCGTTAGCACCAGACAGCACTATTTAGAATGTCATTGCTGTTATTTTGTGACATTGCTGATGTATCATAATAAAGACACTACAGACGAGAACAGTTGTTTCCAAACATTTTGTATGCAAGCATGTAGCAAGCAGGACATCATCATCATCGCCACTATCGACACGACCATCTTTCTCCTCGTCTATAATCTTCCAATCGACTCCTCCTGTAGCAAACCTAAAGACGAACCTGGGTGTGACAACGACATATGCACCGAAGAAGAGAGCTGTGCTACACAAGGAGGAGGTCCGATTTTGGTGCCTTAGGACCAGGATTTCAAATACCTGGAGCATTTTTGAACGAGAAGCAAGATACTAAATTTTGGTACCGTTCAAGACAATTTTCAAGATCTCAAGCATTTTTTTCAAGACACATTCACAGATGTAAAAGCTCAGTTTCGGTGACGTTTTTTTTTCGAGAACTTTCAAGCATCAGCGAAATGTAAACAACACTTCTACACATGCCAAAAAAAAAAAAAAATCGATTTTGTTGCCTTGAGAAGCTTTACTACTACGTTTACCCAGCAAAATGACATTATGAGACAATTTGTAAGAACGTCAAACAACGCAGCACAAAGTAACCAACAATGAAGAGAAAGTAGTTTCACACAGAGAGTTTTCAAGTTCTAACGACGAACAAGCACTACGCAGACATTTTTAAGTTCCAGTAATGAATGCAAGCACTACCCAGAAGTTTTCCAGTTTCAGCGAACATAACAAAAACTACGAGTACGATCACAATGACAACCAGTCCAGAAGCAGAGACATGAGCAGCAAAAATAGAAGCAAATTTAGACATTTATCATCAACATCAAGAAGCCATTAGTCCCAGAAGACAGCAGTTCAAGACATCCAGAAGAGTAGCAGTCCAAAATTCAGAAGACCAACATTACAGAAGTCCAAAGCTCCAGAGTTGCAGAAAACCAACGATTTTGAAGCCTAGAGTACAGACAACTAAAGCTCCAGAAGTCCAGAAATGCAGCCGATGAATGTTCAAGAATGCAGAATTCCAGAAGACCAAAGCTATAGAAGTCCAACATACCAGAAAACCCAGAACGACGTTATGCACATACAGCAGAAGCGTAAGAAACATTTTTTACACCTGACATTTTTATATCATTCAACGAACTACACACTGGTGAAATCCAGGACAACGAAGACAAGAAGAACAACCCAACGACCAGAAAGAAGAAGTCGCTATCCTATGCTACAGCTAATAACAGATCAACTCAACCAGACGACCATCAACAACCACAGCGAAGCAGCCATGAAGAGAAGAATATGTCAACGACTAGAATACCAACGCAACCACAACACCTCGATCATACTACTAGAATGACAATCTCAGTTGCATAGAACCCGTAGAGACAGATAAGTACAGATCCATGAACAATGAACAGTTCCGTTTTCACAGAGCTGCAATATTTGACAATCCAAAAAATAAAGAGACGAACAGGCACAAACTACCAGATGCTTACGGCAAATAAGAAAAGGTCAGATTATTATTTTTATTTGTTTAACATAATAGAAAGTGTTATGTAGATTTGTTTTAAATATAGTAGTGCACTAGAAAATGGAGGAATATGACAATTTAATTTGTTAGGAGTGAAAGTTATGATCACAACAGTCATGCTTGAATGACGCAGTGAACAGGTACCCATATTCGGCTAAGCACTCAAAAGAAGAGAAGAAGAAGAGGCAGAAGAAAAAGAAGAAGAGAGAAGAAGAAGAAGAAGAAAAGAAGAAGAAGAAGAAGAAAATGAAATATTTTATTTAGTGAACGAGGATGATGATGTTTACAGAAAATAGAACAAAGAATAATAAATGAAGAATACCTTTTTTTGCACACGCATACACAGCACACAGTTTCTTCTGATGAAGTATATTCTTGAGAAAGAAGGTAGTAGATGATTAGTAAACAGATTGCATTTTGCAGACACATTGTCAAGTGATACAGATAATTATAAGACTAAAATGTATGAGTTAATGTCTTCGAAGAGCTTTGTGGAAGTAATTGTAGTGAAGATAGAGTTAAACACATTGTTTTTACATTACCTAATATATCAGAGAGCGGTGATAGGGCATTCTTACATGACAATGAGAGAACTATCAGGGTTAAAAAAAAAAAAAGAAATAATACAGACAGGGCACATGTAAATAGAAGTTGATCATTTTCTTTTAAGAGAAGCAAGCAGATGAAAAATAAATAAACAACCTAGCAATGTGTAACAAACAATAATAATAGATAGAGATGTTGTATAATGATGCCATAGTAATGTGAACAATTGTTTGTGTGTTGTAAGAAGCCATGCCATGAAAAATTGATGTTGCAGACACGAGAAGAGTTAATGCGTAATTTTTCGCTTTTCATTGTGTGTATTACGTTTTATTGTGATTGTGATGTCGAAAAAGATAAGTGTTGTCGCGACGACAAAAGAATATAAGTTAAAAAAAAAAAAAAAGTGTGTGATGGGCAGAAGTGAATAATTCTATGTTGTTCAGTAAGATTTTCTTTTCGATGTTTGATTTGCTTTGTAAATATATGCACATTTATGTTATGATTTGTCTAAACATTGATGACTATACTAAGGGACTGTCACAAGTAGTGAGGTGACAGATGTGAAGAGACTCGACAATGAAATAATGTGTATTTTATTTTAAGATTTTTGCTTTTCTTTCAATTCGCTTTGTATATATATCGCATTCATGAAATTAATATGATGTTTGTGATGATGATTAAGAAGAAGAATAAATATAAGTGGTGTAATGAACTTGACGTCACTAAGTAGAGCTGATTAAGCTGAAGTGACACTGAGGATTAAGATTAAAGGACCTAATGACGGCAGAGAGGCGAGTTACGGCGAAAATTGCCGGCCTAGAGCCATTAGGTCAAAGATTTTATTATTTGAGATACAGGCGGTAGAGTGACCGTTCTGATGAGGTAGATACAGACGGTAGAGTGACCGTCCTGGTGAGATATAACTATATTTTGTAAATAAATATGCATATATCTACTTTATATTCTTACATTTGCTTGATATTATATGCCATTTTTGATGTTTGTCCTTGAGTTTAATCTAAGTAAAGTGGAAGCAGAGAGGTGCGTCCACGTTGAGGAGGTTGACACGGTTATATTCGAGGTCTGATGTAAGGAGAGTTGAAGAGAGTTGCCAAGGTGTGCAATTGGCACTTGGCAAAAGCTATATCAATGGCGTGATTTTGGCAGCTGCGTTTAGCAGTACAATCACATCAGTAGTCTAAGTTATGGACATCAGAGAAACCGCGTCAGTACGCAAAATTCATTTTGCTAAAATCCTAAAATGTTGTAAAGAGTTGATTTCATGATATACTTGTACTGTTCATTGAGATAATGCAGATAGATGTTTCGATTGGCATATGTAACTTGTGTTAGTCATGTTGTAGTAAAAGAGTTAACAGATTACATGACGCAGTAACAGTTGACAGGTTGAGTACATGACAAATGAATAAAGCACACAGATTATGTACACTGTGAATAAAGCACACTTCCTACCTTAACATCAAGAAATAACACCATTCCATACAAGCGAAATATGAACACCACACAGACGCATACACACATATCCAATTGTGAAAGGATTTGAGCCCAAACCAACGCCACTCGTATCCTCAAGCAATGAGAAGCAACTGACGCCAGAGCAGGGGAGGTAATAGAATAAATGGGAACAGGCTTGCTGACACCCATCCACACACACACACACATTCCAAAAACGATGTTCAGGACATCCCCGAGTGGTCATTTTATTGTTTTGACAGGAAGCCCCACCCTTGAATAAGGAAAAGTTTACTTTTTGCAACACAAAACTTTAAAACCCTTGGTTGAAACATTGTAAAACTGTCTATGCGTTTATATATCTATGCTCCAAGAGGTGTGAAAAGTTAGAATCCTGGTTGCTTTGTTAATTTGCTGACCCTAGGTCATGGAAACAGAAACACGGAGCCAGCGTGGAGGACAGATAAATAAGGTCTCCAACATCGGTTGTTTTGTTAATGGCAGAGAAGAATGCAGGCAGACACTGGTAGTGATATTTTGTAATAATTATTTTGTGAAGCATTTAGATTGAAGCCCCACTAGAACTGGGACCAGTAGACGCTTGATGCAGTATGAGACATACTTAGATCAACTGTACCTTTCCAAAGCATTTCCCCTGTACATCCTCAAATAAAAAAATAAAAAAGTGCAAGAGAGAGAGACAAGAGATTACTTTTAGTTTCAATGAGTATATTTGAACTCAGCCCATCCAAATCATGGTGTTATATTGGTCAACATATAGAGACAAAGAGATAAGAGATGATGAGGTATTGAGAGACATTCATGTACTGTGTCATTATAATTTTTATGATTAATGCTAATTATTGCAAATGTTACGAAGTTTACTATGCATTATGTTACTGTGTAAGATCTAAAGAGATGTATAAAAAAAAAAAAAAAACATGTAGCAGATGTCCAGACACCTTTTAAACAAGTGAGGATTCAAACCCAAGACAACTATGCCATTCAGCAGTCACAGCACCCACTAGGCATGTGACATGAAATTACTGGCGGAAACTTCGACGTTGTTCCCTCGTGCTAAAGTAAACAAAACAGCGACACAATGTATTGTTTTGACATGCGAGATTTGGGACCGCTAGAGACTGGCACCGACTAGCCACAGTCAACAAAAAAGTGATGATTACAGCGGCAGTAGGGACAACTGTTTTGAGATTGTGAAAGGTAGGATGGCTTTGTACAAAGTTGGTAATGAAAACAGTTCATGCCTGGTACTAGAGGAAATATAAGCATACGGTTACAAAAATATGTTGAACCATTGTGCAGGTGGCTGTAAAAGAATTTTATGTTACAGTCATGGGCATCGAAACTAAATAGACAGAAATGTATCTTAAATGTGGAATCTGTTTTATGAGATGTAAATGAATAGTTTTAAATACTAAAAAACATTTTTTTTTAATTGTATTTGCACACACACTTTTTGATGATGCATGATAGAATGGTACTCAGAGATGGGAGATGACATACTGTGTATTCATTAGTAGTCGCATAAGAAGAGAGGTTTTTGATGTATTGTGTACATGTATTTGATGCATTGTATTGAACAAGAGTATGCAACTATATATGAGATTGTGTTGCAGGGTTTGAAATGACACTTATGAAGAACAGAGTAATGGGTGTATTAGATAAATAATTAGAAGACCTATGATGTTAAAGTTTATGTTAATGATAATGATTAATTTTTCTGCAACAATGATTGTAACTTTAGAGATGGGTTGCTGAGGATCGCAACCTTTGATATTTGCATTTATGATATGAGATGTTGGTGTATAATTGAATTATGTTGATGTATAATTGTACATGGCTTATAATAATTGTAAAATGGCATCTGAGAGTAGACATAGTAGCATAAATGTTCACATATGAGTGAACATTTTTTTAGGAGGGAAGGGTTGTAACACAGTTAAGCCATTACTTGTTTGTAGGAAGTGGGTTATTACGCAGAGTTATGGTGAACTGAAAATCAACAAGTTTTGGCAGCCTTGACATTCCCTTTTCCAGAATCTTCTTTTCTCGCCAAAACAAGCTATTGACATCAAACTGATGTTGTCTGGCCTTGGCCTTCTTTCTAGAAGTTTTGAAATGCATTCTTTTCATCATGTGACCCAACCTTGTCGTACTAGTGAATACCTTGTTGACGTGCCTATCAAAGCAAACACAATTGTCCTTGTTTTTCTAGAAGCTTCTATGACCTCAATTGTCAGTTTAACTACTATATCTGCGTAGAATAGGATGATGAAATCTAATGCAATCGAGATATAATTAGCAAACCCCACGTGAGAACGTACCTAGTAAACGAGTTGAGGCGTACTGGAATATTCTAGAAGCAGACAAAGCCAGAAGAAAACAAATACCTAGCATTCCAGCATCCAAGTATAAATAGCGAGTAACAAAGCACTTTAAAAAAGATTCTTCAGTCCAAAAGACTAAAGAGAGGAGAGGCCAGTCACATGGGCTCCCAAGACAGCCTTCAGTGGTAGAGATGTAAGCCCAATACTAGAAGCCTTCAGTCGTTGAGACTCAGAGGACGAGCGTCTAGTCTCAATGATCCTTGATGCCAGCTCAACACTGGAAGCAGAGCAGCCGTTCATTTGGAACCTTGAAGACAGTCACTGGAGAGCAGACATGAAACGAGACATCGAGCTACAGAGACGACACACAAGATACATGGATCCATGGTTAACAGAGACATATTAGGTAGGAACTATAGAGATGTTAGAGTCGACGATCAATCCGTTAGTACCAGACAGCACTATTTAGAATGTCATTGCTGTTATTTTGTGACATTGCTGATGTATCATAATAAAGAAACTACAGACGAGAACAGTTGTTTCCAAACATTTTGTATGCAAGCATGTAGCAAGCAGGACATCATCATCATCGCCACTATCGACACGACCATCTTTCTCCTCGTCTATAATCTTCCAATCGACTCCTCCTGTAGCAAACCTAAAGACGAACCTGGGTGTGACAACGACATATGCACCGAAGAAGAGAGCAGTGGAGCATATACGCTTAACCAACTCACGCTGAGTCGCCCTATTCTTTGCTATTGCATCCAGCTGATTCTTTGTCATTCCTATCTTTTCAACTTCTTTCTCTAGTTTCTTTCTAAATTCCAACACATCATACTTTTATAGTTTCTCTGATGTTATCTTTGCTTATTGTACTTGGTCTACCTGTAAGTCTGCATCCTTGTCTGCTTTTAGTGTTAGTATGGTATGACATTGCAAGGCATTCTCTCTAAATAGGCTAACCAAGATTGATTAAACCAGTGTAATGAAGGATAGCCCAGCTACAAGCAGCATTTCACACGATGAAGACTATTTTAGATTATCTGCTCTTGTCAACTGATGAAGAAAAGAGAATCTTCAAGAGCTCTTTAGGGCCTTTCGTGATTTTCAGACTTTCCCCTCAAATAATGAATTATTTTAATTTTTTTATCTTTAGAACTGGAGGCTACAGATTCTCAACTTCAGCAGGAAGAAATCCAGTTTGGAGAACGACGAGCCACCAATCTGAGAATCATCATTGAATCCGGCTATGATCATTTCATCTCACTGCATAAAGTTGTTGTCAGTGGACAGGCAGTGCATCGCTAGATTTGAATAAAACATTTTACAGTCAGCAGACAGGGATTTGTTCAAGATTATTCTGTCAGCAGACAGTGCACTGTTATGTTAGAATACAGCTGGTATCATCAGGTTGTACACTTAAATAGCTGATCAGTGAATACAGAGTTATTTGTCTGCAGGCTGTGCATCGTTAAACTTAAATACAGCATTAGCTCTCTGAAGGCATTAGGTATCTAAATGTATCAAGAGTATTCTCTGTCTGCAAGTAGTAAATTGAGGAATAACTGGCCTAACTGTTAGGAACACTGTGTTCTCATACAGCAGACTCGGGTTTGAAACCTGTCAAGTTATGGGGTTTTTCTATGGGAGAAAAAATTATGACCTGCACAGTCCGTGGCGACAACACCAGCCATGTAACTTTAAATCTTCAGGCTCAAAGACCCCCCCTCACCCCGCCCCTTGCTTACACAATACAGGCAGTAGTTCATTGCAACACATGAAATACAAACATACTATCAGCACCATGTAGATCATAAAACTTGGATTGCATCTGCCAACATAACCTCTATTCTAACAACATGGCAAAAATGATTTCTTGTCCTAACCGGGGTGAACAATCTCCATGTGTGAATTTGCTTTTTTAAAGACATTGGGCATAGAGTTTTCAAAAATGTCAAATGAGGAAAATTATGGGGGAGTGAATTGGCTATTCCATCACCTGGAAATACTTTAACAGTATAAGACTTGCATTGATTTCCCAGCATGCTGTGCATCTTGGTAGTCACTGTTTCTCTTGAATTTTACGTAAATTGTTCATAATTTACACTCGTACAATATGGGAAGTGCATTACATCCAAAGACCCATTGTCTGCCTTCCATGGAATGAAATGTATTTTTTCTGCAGTTATTCAGCAGTCAGATGATAGATATTTTATTTTGTATTTATAACCACTAAAAAGGTGACCCGCAGGCGAAGTTAGATCACTGCTCATAACTCACTGGTCCTAGGTTTGATTACAGCCATTACAAGATTGATATCTGAAATATTTTTTTATTTCTTCTGAAATGATTGCAAACAAAATAATACATTAGAAAATCAGATGCATATAATGAGCAAATGCAAGTGGCTTTTTGCACTTACAGTGTTGAAGTATTGAATTTGTTGTTTGTTTTCTACACTGACAAAAGTGTTTGTGTTTACACTTTATAATAAATAATGAAATGTTGATTGAAAGAAAATAAATGAAAATTGAAAAACCACATAGAGCGCCATTTCAACATGTTGTCTTTAGTAGGTGCAGGGCTATTGTATTTCACTGTCATTGCTGAAACAATTCTTCTGTCACTGGATAAAGCAGTACTGGCATTTGTTCATGCAAGGTTCGTTGGTTCAAGCAATCGTTGGTTCAAGCAGTATGGTCATTAGTTCCTGCAAGTTTAGTTGGTTTAAGCAATATGGTCGTTAGTTCCTGCAAGTTTAGTTGGTTTAAGCATTGTGGTCATTAGTTCCTGCAAGTTGATGGTTGAGAAGAGTCCTAATTAAATTGAAGCACTGCTGTCTTCTTCTTTTTTTTAAAATTCTTCCTGTCAGTTGTTTTCAGATGAGAAGGCCAAAGGCCTTTAGAAAGTCTGTGGTGTGACATATGTCTTTTGTTGTTACATACAGCTGGGTTTTGATTAGAATGCCAACCAACTAAACCAGGGAACTCTCTACTGCATGTGGAGAGGATGTCTGTAACACATGATCAGTATTCTGTGGGTTGGCTGAAATATTGATGTTTCTTGTTGGGGTACAGAAACCTGGCCAGCATAGTTAGGATCAATGGTTTCCTCTGTCAGAATGCATCTGCCTAACAGGCAAGGAATGAACAGTCCGTACAAAAATAAATCATGTCTCTTGTTTTTCCTTGAGGTGTTTATTTTATAGGCTTCAGTCATAGAAACCTTCTAGGTTCAATCACGGTAATTGTATAGGCACACAACACCCAAGTTCTAACACAAAACAAAGGTCAAGAAGAGGACGAAGAACCACAACTTTCCACTGGAGTTTACGGCCGGTGAGCTCGAAGAAGTGGAAGTTGTCACTGGTTGAAGTAATGATGGGTAAACAGACAGAGGAATGATTGGAAGGGAAAATTGATAAAATTGCAGGTGGGCTAATGGATACATATGGGGAAAAGGATGGAACGTCTACATCGACAGATAAGGAGTCAGGTACTTGTTTGTTTTCAAGTGACAATCCATACATATATGTATTGGCTTCACTTTCTATGTAATAATGCTCTTTATAAGTGGGCCATGAATGATACAGGTGTTGAAGTAGATTCATGAGAGCTGAGTGTCTGAGAGCAAGCAGACTAAATACATCTGATGGCAACAGACTAAATACATCTGATGGCAACAGACTAAATACATCTGATGGCAACAGACTAAATACATCTGATGGCAACAGACTAAATACATCTGATGGCAACAGACTAAATACATCTGATGGCAACAGACTAAATACATCTGATGGCAACAGACTAAATACATCTGATGGCAACAGACTAAATACATCTGATGGCAACAGACTAAATACATCTGATGGCAACAGACTAAATACATCTGATGGCAACAGACTAAATACATCTGATGGCAACAGACTAAATACATCTGATGGCAACAGACTAAATACATCTGATGGCAACAGACTAAATACATCTGATGGCAACAGACTAAATACATCTGATGGCAACAGACTAAATACATCTGATGGCAACAGACTAAATACATCTGATGGCAACAGACTAAATACATCTGATGGCAACAGACTAAATACATCTGATGGCAACAGACTAAATACATCTGATGGCAACAGACTAAATACATCTGATGGCAACAGACTAAATACATCTGATGGCAACAGACTAAATACATCTGATGGCAACAGACTAAATACATCTGATGGCAACAGACTAAATACATCTGATGGCAACAGACTAAATACATCTGATGGCAACAGACTAAATACATCTGATGGCAACAGACTAAATACATCTGATGGCAACAGACTAAATACATCTGATGGCAACAGACTAAATACATCTGATGGCAACAGACTAAATACATCTGATGGCAACAGACTAAATACATCTGATGGCAACAGACTAAATACATCTGATGGCAACAGACTAAATACATCTGATGGCAACAGACTAAATACATCTGATGGCAACAGACTAAATACATCTGATGGCAACAACAGTCCTGAAATCCCCAGCTCTGTGCTCTAATTGGGGTCATCATCATCAAGTGCCTTGTCAGCTGGCTTAGGCATTCAGGCATCTCTATAGATATCTGTATTTGGTGTTCTGGAGCAATTCTACTGATGATATTTCCCCATGCTACTTAAGCCATCCACCATCATTTCTCTTGGTCTCTCTCTGCCTATTCTACCAGTGATCTTTCCAACCATCACAATTTTTCCAGTGCCCCTTTTTTTTCTCATCACGTTACCAAAGTGCTTTGTTTATCTCCTTCTCATTGTTGTGGATAATGTTCCACTTTCATTAGCCATTTCCAGACAATCATTGTTAGCTATTCTGGCAGCCCAAGGTATTCTCAACATTCTTCACAAGAACCACATCTCACTTGCCTCCAATCTCTTGTTAATTTGTTTGCTCACATTCCAAGATTCACTGCCGTACAACAGAACAGGCTCGATGAAACATTTCAGTACTAGTTTTCTGATGTTTAATCAGAGTGGTTTATTACTTAGATACTTCTCATCTTATGAAAAGCTGCCTTTGCCTGGCCAATTCTGCTGCTAACTTCTGTCACACATCGTCCATCTGATGTTATGATTGTCCCCAAATACTTGAATTTATTGACGTAGTAAGGCACTTTCCCTTCAATTGCTATGTCACATTTTGGAGTTATCTTCTATCTTGATATAACCATTGTTTCTGTTTTATTAACATTTGAGGAAAGTCCTTTTTTTTTGCACTATCTAGCGCCACAATATCTAATAGTTATTTTAGGTCTTCTGCGTTTTCAGCTATTAATATTATATCATCTGCATAACGAAGACTGTTTATATTATAACCTCCAACTACTATTCCTAGTCTAATTGTAGTAGGCTTATTCTAATCTGGGCGGGTCACACCCGCCACCACCAGCTTATCTTAGTGTGGGCGGGTCTTGCTAGTCACACTTGCCACCACCAGCTTATCTTAGTGTCGGCGGGTCTTGCTAGTCCCTATCGCCACCATCAGCTTATCTTAGCGTGGGCGGGTCTTGCTAGTCACTATCGCCACCACCAGCTTATCTTAGTGTCGGCGGGTCTTGCTAGTCACTCTCACCACCACCAGCTTATCTTAGTGTCGGCGGGTCTTGCTAGTCACACTCGCCATCACCAGCTTATCTTAGTGTCGGCAGGTCTTGCTAGTCACATTCGCCACCACCAGCTTATCTTAGTGTCGGCGGGTCTTGCTAGTCACTCTCGCCATCACCAGCTCATCTTAATCTGGGCGGGTCTTGCTAGTCACACTCGCCATTACCAGCTCATCTTAATCTGGGCGGGTCTTGCTCTCACCACCACAGCTCGCCATTACCAGCTCATCTTATCTTGTGGGCGGGTCTTGCTAGTCACACTCGCCATTACCAGCTCATCTTAATCTGGGCGGGGTCTTGCTAGTCGCCATTACCAGCTCATCTTAATTACCAGCTCATCAGCTAATGTGGGCGGGTCTTGCTAGTCACACTCGCCATTACCAGCTCATCTTAATCTGGGCGGGTCTTGCTAGTCACACTCGCCATTACCAGCTCATCTTAATCTGGGCGGGTCTTGCTAGTCACACTCGATATTACCAACTCATCCTAATGTGGGCGGGTCTTGCTAGTCACACTCGCCATTACCAGCTCATCTTAATCTGGGCGGGTCTTGCTAGTCACAATCGCCATTACCAGCTCATCCTAATGTGGGCGGGTCTTGCTAGTCACACTCGCCATTACCAGCTCATCTTAATCTGGGCGGGTCTTGCTAGTCACAATCGCCATTACCAGCTCATCCTAATGTGGGCGGGTCTTGCTAGTCACACTCGCCATTACCAGCTCATCCTAATGTGGGCGTGTCTTGCTAGTCACAATCGCCATTACCAGCTCATCCTAATGTGGGCGGGTCTTGCTAGTCACACTCGCCATTACCAGCTCATCTTAATCTGGGCGGGTCTTGCTAGTCACACTCGATATTACCAGCTCATCTTAATCTGGGCGGGTCTTGCTAGTCACACTCGCCATTACCAGCTTATCTTAATCTGGGCGGGTCTTGCTAGTCCCACTCGCCATTACCAGCTTATCTTATTGTGGGCGGGTCTTGCTAGTCACACTCGCCATTACCAGCTTATCTTATTGTGGGCGGGTCTTGCTAGTTGCATTCGCCATTACCAGCTTATCTTATTGTGGGCGGGTCTTGCTAGTCACACTCGCCATTACCAGCTTATCTTATTGTGGGCGGGTCTTGCTAGTTGCATTCGCCATTACCAGCTTATCTTATTGTGACTCGCCATTACCAGCTTATCTTATTGTGGGCGAGTCTTGCTAGTTGCATTCGCTATCACCAGCTTATTTTAATGTGCAAATTTCTCCATAGGCTAATTGGTAAAATGTGTCTATAGTATTTTAATTAGAAAGTCTGACCACTGCTTTCCATTTCCGTAGTGAGAGTCCAACTCTGTATAGGAAAATAGACAACACCAGTGATTTGTAAATATCGACTTAAACTGCGATGCTTTCCACATCGTATTTAGCTGGGACATCGCGGCTATTGCCATATCAAGTCTTGTCTTGATTTTTGTTGTTGTTGTTTGGTACAGCTGCCATCGTTTCATCGTTGAGTTATTTAAAAGATTCAACTTCTTCTAGCCCCTCCCCCTCCCTTTTTTTAAATCATTTCAAAATAATGCATATGACATTAGACTGCGAGAGCTAGAAAGATAAAAATAACCAAAGATAAGAGAACCGGCCGGTCAAAGGCTATATTGATTAATATTTAGAGAAGTTTGACAAGAGAGGTCGCATTTCGGTTGGGTGACTGGTGTGGTTGATAGGCCTATGGTTTGGATATTAAAACTGCGATTGTGAATTCAGATGATCCTTGCTGACTGTTGCTGTTCCATTAGCACAGGGGGGCGTTACCGACGAGTTAGCGAGTATAATAGTCATAAACAGATGACGATCAACATCATTTCATACTTCTTGAAGACAGACATTGTAATCGGCAGCAGACACGCCAGTGACAGAGGAGACCTTACAATTTTCAAGATCTGATACATTAATTCGCTCGCTGCATTGCATTACTTTACGGAAATTGTGAAATTACTGATGGTTCTGAAAAAAGAAAATTCAATTATATTAATATTATGACAGACTTCAGGTTCTGGGTGTACAGTGAACGGCAACAGTCAGTCAACAATTCGTGGATTTTTCATGTTAAATTAATGGATGAGATAACACTTGGTTGGTGTATCACAGGTTAAATCAGCAGCCGAGACAGCCTTTTCTTGGATTTTTCACAGGTTAAGTCAGCAGCTAAGACAACCTGTTAAATCAGCAGCTTAGACAACCTGTTAAATCAACAGCTGAGACAACCCTTTGTGGTTATATAACAGCTTAAAACAGCAGCTACAACACTTCGTATCTTTACATATATATATATATATATATATCACAAGGTAAACAACACTGAGACAACGTTATGTAGTTATATTACAAGTTAAATCAACAGCTGAGACAACATTTCGCGCGTATGTCACGAGATAAATGAGCAGCAAAACAACAGTTCAATGAAATATCACAAGTTAATTCGTGGATTGATCACAAGTTAAATGAACAGCTCATACAATAATTCGTAGATTTATCACAAGTTAAATGAACAGCTAATACAATAATTCGTGGATTTATCACAAGTTAAATGAACAGCTAATACAATAATTCGTGGATTTATCACAAGTTAAATGAACAGCTAATACAATAATTCGTGGATTTATCACAAGTTAAATGAATGGCTGAAACAACAATTCGTGGATTTATCAAAAAGTTAAATGCATATCTGAAACAACAATTCGTGGATTTGTTACAAGTTAAATGAACAGAAGCAACGAGACAAACATTCGAGGATTGGCATTTATGGCAGACGAGGACAATGTCGATACGTATGGTGTCATCAAAGACGGCATCAGATATCAGATCATGAAAGAGAATAACAAACGTACATCTTTCTCGTCAAATAACCAGCAGATTGTGTTCAGGGGCAGGCAAGTTCTTGAAGGCATCGAGAAAAGTGAGAAGTTGATGTCCTCTGACTTCCGCCGGCAACAAACAGCGTTGATAGACAAGTTTGAGAAGCTGCAGAAGAAAAGGGAAACATTGGGGATCTTGCAACCATCTTGGAGTCTGACAGAACGACGCCACAGTGAGCCGATTGTCCGCGATGTGCAAATACATTCGCCATTACTACATCGTTTCCCGCAAACACAACACGGTCTTAAAACTCACGTGAACATGCAGCAACAGAATCCAATAAATCCTAGAATCAGTGTGGCCAGACGGCAGTCGGAGGAAACTCGGAAAGAAATATTAGCAACCTCCTTGCCCAGGTTAGAAGCCATTATGGCTAGCAGCCGTCGGAGAGCAACCATTGCTGGTAATGCCTCGCTCTCCGATTACTTTCCGTCATCTCAGGAGCTGAACAAATTGTCGCGTCTTTATAAACAAACCTCCCGTGTTGATGAAGAAAGTGATTAAATTCGTTGCCAAATGGACAGTTTTAAAAATACAATAATAGTGTTAGTAACATTCATAAATACGCTCACATAAATTGTTTTGTGCTAACAGATGTAGATGAAAGGGATAGAGATCATCATCATCATCATCATCATCAGGTGCCTTTCCGACTGGCGTGGGCGATCATGCCTCTCCACAATCCGTGATCTCCTGCAGCATTTATCTGTTCGTGTGCCAACACTCCTCCATCATCATCAGCCAGTTCTCGTTATGCCGAGTGGCACATGAGGCTTCAGAGAGGACTTTCCATGCTTTCCTGTCCTGTGCAATCTTCAATGAAGTTTTCCATGTCAAAGATGCCGCACTCAGGTCACTTTCCATCGTTCGTCTCCATGTTTTTTTTTGGGCGCCCCTGTTTTCTCTTTCCCTCTGGTGTCCATGTGAGAGCTGTTTTGGCAGGTATATCAGAAGTCATTCTCATAACGTGGCCAAGCCATTTCCATCTTCTCTTGGTAATCATACTGTCTAAAGTTTCTTGGTTTGTAGTTTGAAGTAGTTTAGTGTTTGAGATTGTATCTGGCCAGAAAATTTTGATAATTCTACGTAGACAAGTGTGGTGGAAGGTGGACAGCTTGTGTACATCCTTTTTGGTCATTATCCAGCATTCCGCTCCATAGAGAAGAACTGGCAAAATGATGCTCTTGTAGAGTCGGAGTTTCGTTCCTCTGCAGTAATTGTTGGATTTCCAGATTTGCCTCATCCTTCCAAAAGCAGCTCTAGCTTTGTTCAGACTTGACTGTATTTCTTCCTCTGTCCCTCCCAGTAGGGACACCACACTGCCAAGATACGTAGAATGTTCTACATTTTCAAGTGATTGGTTACTTATGGTCACTGGTTGTTGGTTTGGACTGTTTGTCATGATCTTAGTTTTCTTTGTATTTATTCTCAGTCCCACCATTTCTGCTGTGCAGTTTAGTTTGTTACTTTTCTCTTGTATATGTTCATGTTTATGTGATAGGAGTGCTATATCATCTGCAAAATCAAGGTCCTCAAGCATAGTGAATGGAGTCCATCGTATGCCTCTTAATGTCCTGTCTACTGTGTTCTTTAGTATCCAATCAATCACAAGGTTGAAGAGGAGAGATGACATAACACATCCTTGTCTTATACCCGTCTTTACTGGGAAAGATGTATTGTAATTTTTTATACTACAGGAAAAGGTTTTATAGAAGAGAGCAATTATGTTGACTATTTTTTCTGGAATTCCATAATGTCGTAAAATTTTCCACAGACCGTCTCTATGGACGCTGTCAAAAGCTTTCTCAAAGTCCACAAAATTAATATATATACTTCTCTGCCATTCGTTGCACTGTTCTAAAATGTTCCGTGTGGCGAAGATGTGCTCAGTTGTCCCTCTGCTCTTTCTGAATCCTGCTTGTTCCACTCGTAGGCATTTATCTACTCCTTTTTCAAGCCGCATTATGATGATTTTACAAAATATTTTGCTTGGTACTGAGAGTAGAGTAATTCCCCTCCAATTATTGCAGTCTGTTAAGTCTCCTTTTGGGGGGGGGGGGGGGGCGGGGGTGGATTCTGACTATTGTTCCTTCAGTCCAGTCATCAGGCAACACTTCTTTTTCCCAAATATCCTTGAACAATGGTTCTAGAATGCTAGCAGTTGTTTTGGGATCTACTTTGAGAAGTTCTGCTGACAATTCGTCCATGCCATGCAACAAGACTGTCAAGAATCTTCTCTCGTTGTCTTCATCTATCCCTCCTTCCACAGATCTTTTCAGTGGTCACAACATGTTCTATTATCCCTCTTCTCATAACATGGCCGAAAAATGACGACTGTCTCCTTCTGATGTCTGTGAAAAGTTGTCTTCGGGCTCCCGCCTCTCTCAAAACCTCTTAGCTGCTCTTTTTGGCTGTCCAAGGTATTCTAAGCATTCTTCTGTTAAACCACATCTCTGAGGCCTCTAGAAATTTTTGGTCTGCCTACCGATTGTCCAGGATTCACAGCCATATGTTAAAACTGGATGTATCTAGCAAGCAAGAATTCTTTTTTTAACTCTCAATGACAAGGATATATTGCACAAGATGTTCTTTATTTGATAAAATGCAGTTTTTGCCTGTCCTATTCTGTTTCTTATCTCAGTTATACATCTTCCATCTGATGTTATCCATGTGCCCAGATACTTAAAGTTCTGTACTTGTCCTAAAATAACACCATCGACTTTTTACACATTTAGGAATATTTCGTTTCTTTGATACCACCATCACTTCTGTCTTCCCATTGTTCAAACTGAGGCCCATTCTTCCACTTTCTAACACTACAATGTCTATCATTTCCTGTAGTTCTTTCTGACTTGTTGCTATCAAGACTGTGTCATCAGCACAACGTAAATTGTTTATATTGTGCCCACCAACCACAATTCCGGTCATACCAATGAAAGATCTCATTATATATTCACTGTATAGTGAAAATGACTAACTCGTCATAAAACGCGTCAATATCTTCCTATTAACTATCTGCTGTTGGGGCATAAATCTGTTCTAAGTTGATGTCAAACGGTCTGCCACGAAGTTTTACTAATAGTACTTTTATCTGATATTGTCCAAAATCCTTTTTTGAGTTCTTTGGATCCAAAATAATACCAACACCCCTGCTGTATTCCTTCCCACCTGAGCAAATAATTATGTGCTGATCTGAATACTTTCCCCCTGCTCCTGACCATCGCATTTCACTAATTCCTTATATGTTGATGTTCATTCTCTTCATTTCCATCTTGATATTATCCAGCTTACGAGTGTTCTGACATTCCATGTACTGCAATGTGCTCTGCTAGGGGTTTGTTTCTACACGCCACATTGCTGTATTGAGGTACTATTAGTTGCTAGGACACACCAGAAACGAATGTTTAGTTATAGACCTTTATTCGCTGAATCAAACATATCACTGACAGCGCATTCTTTCGTCCTTGTGGTCGTTATGCCTGGCTGATTTCTGAAGGCCTGGTCAATTCTTTCGCACACTGCGTAGCTCTCGAATCACACATCCATCTCCTGCTAAAGTTTGTACCTGGTATTAGTACTTTTTGGAATTGGCAATCAGTAAACGCTCATATCTTCTCTCGAACAATTATACGTGTTCACAGTTTCTCCATTCTTTTCAGGCGTTCTCTCACATACGACCTCTCGCAACCAGGTCCGAACTACAACTGTCTTACTACCGTATCTCGGTTCACGTCTTCCGTTCCAGTCTCACGCTTTTCTTGTATCCCTTATTTCGCTTACCATGGGATACTCGAGACCGACTTATCTCGTTTTCCTCTTGTATCACTGGTCCTCTGACCTTGTCCTCCCCATCGGGAACTCTCTGGGATTTCCCCGGGAATTCACAACTTTACATGTACCAATGTTCAGGATGTTTCTACCATTTACTTTTTCTACAGTAGCTGGATGACGGTCGGGTATCACCTATAAAACATGATGCTCCCTACCGGACGAGGTGATTTCGCTGGAATCCCCATTCACGTCGTTATCTGAATTCGTAATATTCTGAGGCATGATTGACTAGGGATAATACAGCGGTGGTTTCCCCTTGAATTCCGCTGGTTTGTATATGGTTTGATACCAATAGCCTTTGCCCAAAGAGACTTACCCTGCAAGGCTGCAGGGGGAAAAGGTTATGGCTCTTCTTACCCGCCGATGGCCATGTCGTAGAGTTTTGAGGTATTTTATAGAGTTAGCTGTCCCACCAACTCGCCTCCTCTCAATGACCATCATCTGTTTTCGTCCACAGCCACTTATTCAATATATTCGTGGCTAACATCTATATCTAGAGGCCTTTCCATCATCCGCCTACTGGTGGACGCGCCTAGTAGTAGGACAGGGGCATAGGATAGAGATAGAAGGGTTATTTAGCTAATCATTAATCAGAACACACGTTATCCTGCAAAAGATGCGCAATAGTCAATTGATATTTCCACGTCTTTCTATACATAAAAGAAGGTCAATATCTGTTCTGTCCATCACTTTCGGTCGGTTCTGTGGCTAAGTCGATGCGAACGCTTCGTAATGCCGGGGTGCCAGGTTCGATCCCAACTGCAGGCCATGCGCCTTGCGTTGGTTTTAACAGTGGTATCAAGGGGTAGACCGTCCAGAAAGCAATGGCAAACTACTGATGTAAATTTACATAGAGAAACCACACAACAGCCAGGGGCTGCTGGGGTTGGTTCTGCAACGCCCTGTAAAGGATACACAACTAACTTAACCATGCCTTTCTCTGCAGCGTATCCAAACTATGGAGTATCAGTGTTAGATCACGCCAGAGCGTTCTTGCTGTTTTCAGACAGTGGGAGTGGAAATAGGGGGTGGGGGTGAGTGTCACCTGCCCATGAACGTTCATGACGTACAAAGGGCCTAATTAGTTGTGTTTCCTTTGAAGTCAGAAGCGAGGAACCACGCCTGCATACAAGTTAGCCAGGTCAGTAAAGTTTTGAAACACAATTTAAGTTCACAAGTGGGCGAACCACCATCAATTTCCGCAGGAATTTAACAAGAAGTAAAGATGTCTTGTCAACAAGCTTCAATATATATATTAGGAAAACAGGCTATTCTCCGAATAACGGTCCCAAATTATCTAGGCCGAAAATATACCCTAACAGGGCCTCAGTCACATGTCAATTGCGAAGTTTCGGGGACTATACTGCCACCGCCGAAGGTATCTAGATGGCTGGGACTCACGAGCAAATAAAATGAAGAAAGCTGCAGGAGATGCGGTAGCTACTGTTCATGGGTTCCAGCCTTCTAGTTTAGCCCCAATCCACGCCGAGCGTAGCGGCGTGGAAGATACTCTCGGCGGTGGCTGAAGTTGCCGGAAGTGCGCAATTTAAGTCGCCGGAAGTCCGAAATTAAAATGTGACTGAGGCCCTGATATTTTCGGCCTCGATAATTTGGGACCGTTATTCGGAGGATAGCCGGAAAACAAATATTGAAACAGCTGTTAGCTTCGAAAG